CACGCAGAAGTTCAGGGGTGCAGCCGTAGAGAACGTGGGCAAAGATAGACCGTCTCCCGCCTCTGCCTCTCAGCTACCGTTGAACGATGAGCTTCCCGGCCAATGCACCAAATGATACCGGAGAAACTGACGGAAGCAAAGCACAGAGAGATGGACACAGGTTTCTTCAGGAAGGAAGAGATTCTTTATTGGATCACCGATCGGGACTCAGAGGGACTAATGTCACCAAAAATACAGCAAGTTCTGAGCCCTGAACAATGGTGCAGGCTCCCTATATAGGCACATAACTCCTCCCATATTAAAAACCACCCATACATTCCTACCCGACCAATCAAGGCCTGAAATAAAAATTTAACTTCCTGTAAAGCCGCATAAACTTGTCCAGCACAATGGAGGAGGGGAATACTACATCCTGTATTCTTGCACATGCTCCGTACACTACTGATCGTATCTTGCCTCGTGCAACCAACTGATCGATACGTCAGCATATGCACGTACACATGCCACGTGGTAATCTCGGCCTACTAAATTTATTTTTACCGAGATTCCACCACAAAATGATGAGACAATTTATGTTCTATAGCTTCAAATCCCTTTGCAAAGTGGCATGGAACAAAGCCAGGAACTGGAGAAAAGCAATTAAAATAATTAAATTTATCCTAGTTTATCCCAGGTAGTTGAGCCTACAACTACTTTAAAACTCTTGTTTTATCAAACCATTTTAGATGCGAATAAATTTCATTTTGTTTCACAAATACACAATAACAAAATAAAACGTATACTTTAAAAATATAAAAGAATGGACACTGCCTGAGATACCATATTTTGTTCTTTAGCTAGTTACAGATTGAAAAGTTTGCCAGCATCTAACTGCAACAATAAAATCGTAAATTAAAAAGCGCAAAAAAATAATTTGTTTGTATATTCCAACTTTTAAAATCACAATAATTAGGGCTGGTATTGTAGCAGCTCAACACAATAAAAACATTCCCAAAATTTCAAACAAGATTATTTTCACAGGATGTGTAAGCACTTAAAAAGTAAAACCCATATATTTGGGGTATCTGTGATATTGATTACTTCTCAAAAGTCCATATCTCTTGTCCATATATTAAGGAATAGGTTGTGGGTAGTGATGTCCCGAACGGTTCGCCACGGACGGCGAACATATGCGCTGTTCGGTCCGCCCCCTATTCGTCATCATTGAGTAAACTTTGACTCTGTACCTCACAGTCAGCAGACACATTCCAGCCGATCAGCAGCAGACCCTCCCTCCCAGGCCCTCCCACCTCCTGGACAGCTCACTAAGAATGCAGCTTCACAATGAATGTAAAATGGATGCTGTCCAGGAAGTGGGAGGGTCTGGGAGGGATGGTCTGCTGCTGATTGGCTGGAATGTGTCTGCTGACTGTGAGGTACAGAGTCAAAATTTACTCAATGATGACGAATAGGGGGCGTTGTTTAAGAATGCTTATTTAAATTTTTTTAAGATCATGACTTTATGTGTTAAAATAAAACCAATTTGGGGCAATTAGTTTAGTCAAGTGTTGGTCAATTGTTCAGTCTCACCCCAAACAACCACTCAGGGGTAATGAGGAATCTGTACAATAAGGAGAGATGTTTTTTTTTTCAAGGGGCCCGGTCGCGCTATACTACAGCCTAAGTGCGTGGGCCACCTGATGGGCCCCATCAGTGTGCGGGCCCAGGTGGAACTGCACCGGCGGCAGTTCCGCCGCTACATGTCACCCCCTGATGGCGCCCTGCCTATAGTGTCCCTTTAGGTGTTACATATCAATTAAAGCAGAAAAGAGGCTTACTCTTACATTTAATTATTATTAGAATGGGGATGTGATTATTCCTAAAAAAAAATTGCAAAATAGGAAATAGGCTCACGGATTTAAATCCCATTGCAGTTGTTAATAATAATAGTGAAATAAAAGTAACTAATGCTTGCATTCCTATGACTGGAAGTAGAATATAGGCAGAAATATACAAAACTCTACATGTCTTGTTTAGCGCTTTAAAGGACCACTATAGTGCCAGGAAAACATACTCGTTTTCCTGGCACTATAGTGCCCTAAGGGTGCCCCCACCCTCAGGGTCCCCCTCCCGCCCGGCTCTGGAAAGGGGAAAAGGGGTTAAACTTACCTTTTTCCAGCGCTGGGCGGGGAGCTCTCTGCCTCCGATCCTCCTCCGTTCCTCCTCCTGGGCTAGCTGCGCGCGCATTCAGCCGGTCACATAGGAAAGCATTCATAATGCTTTCCTATGGACGCTGGCGTGCTCTCACTGTGAAAATCACAGTGAGAAGCACGCAAGCGCCTCTAGTGGCTGTCAATGAGACATCCACTAGAGGATTAGGAGGAAGGCTTAACCCATTCATAAACATAGCAATTTCTCTGAAACTGCTATGTTTATGAAAAAAAAGGGTTAACCCTAGCTGGACCTGGCACCCAGACCACTTCATTAAGCTGAAGTGGTCTGGGTGCCTAGAGTGGTCCTTTAAGTCAATGTGAGTGGCTGGGTTTAGTCTGCAAAAAATTGCAACATTGCACTATATCTCAATACATCTGCCTGGGATTATATCCAGTTTATGCCTGATCTTCTGTTTTATTGACTATGGAGTTTAGATGCATTGGCTAGTAGCATTTGGATTTCCCTTATGTTGACGTGTTTCTTGTCATTTCTATACAGTCTCAAAAAAACCATTTATTCTGGTAATTTATTATGATTTTTTTTTAAACTAATCAAAAATGTAAATTGTTGTGCTTAAATAAACCCCCCAAAAAACAATGTATTAAATCTTTGAATTTTATTGAAATTCTCATGACGGCTGCAGTGAAAAAAATTGGGATTATGTAAATGTTACACACACACACATGCGCACACACAAACACACACGCTCTCTCTCTTTCTCTCTATGTAATGTAAACATATATGTGTGTGTGTTTGTGTGTGTGTTTGTGTGTGTGTGTATGTGTTAAATGTGACTAGGTAATGTAATGAAAACCTGCTTCTGTTACAACAAATCTTAATTAAATCAGATATTATGGGTAGGTCAGGGAAGATCATGGGAGTTTACTGAGAGTAATTAGAAGGGCTGAGGGTGGACGTCTTTGAACATAGGTGACATCTAGGTATTTGTCCTTAACTTGGAAGAATAGAGAAACAGGATTATTTACATAAGGGAGGAACAGATAGAATGACAGGCAAGGAAACCTAACTTGTCTAACAAGAATATTTCATTTTTATTGTCATGAATTGCTAATACTTTATACTTGTGGATCCAAGACTTTTATACTTTATATCTCTTTTTTAATTTTTAAAATAATTTGTAATTGTTCTTCGATCTTGGATTTATCTCTGTATTTTTCCTGATTATTGCACGAGGCATGTAATCTGCAGGGAAACACAAAATCTTCCCTTAGACCACAAGTCTACCAAATGTTTTTATAGAATGTGACATCCATGGCTGTAAGACCCTGAATTTACTCCTTAATGGCAATCTCTAACACTCGCTCTCACAATACAGATCAAATGACTAATTCCCATTAGAGTGCAAGCTTTTCTAACGATGACAAGTACTGGATCGTCTTTTTTTTTTCTAATCTCCTTGCTCTGTCTCCTTTCCTCTTTTATCTTGTTCTCACCCCTTGCTCGCTTCTCTAATTCTAATTCTTCTGTCTAACGCCTTTACCCATTCCTATCTCTTTGGAGAACTCAATGTCTTTTTGTTTCCATATGGGATATCCTCTTGTTTTTATTCTCCATAACAGGTTTCTACTGGAGAATAATTTATTTATTTTTTAGTTTCACTCCAACGGCCATCAGATGTAAGCCCACCTGCCATGTCAAGGCAAACCTCTTAGGTGGGTCCTACACAAACAATTCACCTTGCTTGCTTTAGTAAAAGAAAATCTCTAATGAGACAGAGAGGGGTATTTTTTTTAAAAACATCTACATACTTATTAAATCTTAATAGGGAACACATGGGATGGGCGGCAGCGCTGTAACATGGCTGTGTGATACAAAAGGAAAATACAAATACACAAATAAGTCCTGAGCTCAAACTCCAACTACTCCAACAAGGTGGTCTAGCTCATAATAAACATTTACCATTAAAGATATAACTAGTGTGATGCCAAACCTCCAATCCCAACTAATTCCTTATCATAAACTGTATCTAATCATATTGTATAACGCTAACTTTTAACATCTAGCCCTATGCTCCATCATGAAAGGTTATCTATAGCCAACATTGATATTGCCTTCATTCTATCTTTTAGCTGTGCTTTGATTCCTAATATTTGGCATTCTTCCATGTTTTATTTTACTATTATTATTAACAACTGCAATGGCATAATCAAATTAGTCACTTTTTTAACCCTGGCAGCGGGGGCATTGTTACCTAAATGGTTACTAGGGCACTATAGCGTTAGGAATACACATTTGCATTCCTAACGCTATAGTGGTCCTTTACAGGGTTACTCCGAACACCATGACTACTTCTGTGACTTGAAGTGGTCATGGTGTCTGACATGCGGGAGAGACATGGAAGGGAGGAAAGAAGAGACATGGATGGAAAGGGGTAGAGAGAGGCATGGAAGGAAGGCGTACAGAGACACGGATGGAAGGGAGGCAGAAGTGAGTTGAGAGTGCAGCCATACTTTACCCTGCCTGGAGATTGAAGAGGGAGTAGGGAGCGAGCGGGGAGGAGGGGAGGGCACTATACAGATCCTCGCCATGGGAATTAGAGACCCTAGCTACGCCTCTGGTGCCTGGAGTCTATATGTGCAGTGTTTCAATTTGAAACACTTTACATATGGAGTTAAACACCTCTGCGGCCAGAAGAGTAACTCCTGGCCATATCATTGGGGCATCATTAACCAGCCTAAAATAACATTCCTGGGCTGGCTAATTTCAATTCTCTGCATTATCCTATTCACAGAATTGCATTCATTGGCTGAGAGAGGTCAGCTGAAGCTACGAGCCAATAGTCAGTGGGATCGACTTCTGGCTTCTGCAGCTCTGCAGAAGCCGTATGTCATCACCAGCTATTGCAGGACAGTCGGCTCCCAGTAAAGAACCAGGTAAGTGGACAAATCATTGCATAACAGTTTGCCCCATTACCGGCAATGGTGCCTGGGTTCTAATGGCATCGTAACCACTACAGTGGGCAGTTATGATGCTTAGAGCAACCCTTTAATTGTTTCAGGACAAAATAGAGATCATATCAAACATGTGTCATCATACTATCATGAACAATGCATTTACACAAGACTGACATTTGTTTAATTCTCAGTAAAGCATAATAAAGAAGTTTCAATCAGGAACTCAGGGACCGACCGACTTCATCATGAGGCCTGCAAAAGCCTGTTTTGCTCCATTTGAAAAAAAGATTTAGATCCTATAAGCAATATGTGGAATAGATCACATTATACATTTTGTTGTTTTTATTTTTATATTTGCGTACACCCTACTAATGCTATTTTGCACTCATTTTTATAATTGCAACTTATAATAATCAGCAAAGTACTCATTAAGGTTATTTGTGGATCAAAAACTCCACCTGTACGGGTCAAGGAAAAAGCTACAATGAGAATGAAAAATCATTGATGAGTTAGTTGAGAAGATATTGCAAAATCATTCAGTTTCACTGTCCCTATCGGCATATTTTAGATAGGTGTGGGATGTGACTCATTTTCCTAGTGCAGCTATTAGAGTGGTCACCAATTGTGCTGTGCGATGAAAAAATTGTCGTAAGTAATATCTCCTGTTATTCCAGTATAAATGATTGTACTGTATGTTTGTGTTATGTAACTGTTATTAGAAATCTGGAGCAAAAATGTAAAAGCGAGGCAATTACAATGGAAACCAAGAGAATCAGCAGCTAAAAACCACTTGTGATTGCTCCACTTTTACATCTATGTACAACTTTTCTATCTTGACCATTCTAGAAATGTTCCACCTGTGTGTCTAAATAGTGTCTGATATTAACAATCAATTTACTCTTGGGAAAGGTATAGAAATAATTGCCATTTGCTTTTCAAAAGTTGTAGGTCAAGTGATCTTTCTACAATTATGCAAAAGCGGCTATTAAAGGAACACTCTGAGCACCATAACAACTTCATTTCAATTAAGCTGTTATGGTTTGTGGACGCCAACTTACCCTTTACAAATAGTTTAACTCCGAACTTGTGTAGATGACAACCATCCTTTCTGACCGTCCTGGCTAATTCTTTGGCCAAGCATTGTTTCTGACCTGAAGATGAGAGGAAACTACGTATTGAAAGCTTGTTTCTTAAAAATATTGTCCAATAAAGAGCAATCACTGCACATTGTAATACTCCTATAATTCTGGTATATACAGTAATACAAAGACCAAATGTGTATTCTCAACAATATGGAAATGGTTAATAACATCTGTTTATGCCAATAGAAATAAGCAAATGAAACAATGACACAATCTCCTTGTAGTGTTTACGTAGGTTGTGCAATCGTGCTGAATCCTTCTCTTCTCATAATTTCTATACATTCATCAAATCATTTCGAAAGCTTAGTTACACGTTCCTACATTCTATATAGTTTTATTTATAGCTCTTACTTTTCAAACATGCCACTGCTATTTCTGTTACTACTAATGTTTAATTTAACACATACTACGGTTCTAGAGCAAAACTTGCTTTTCATCTGTGACCAATACTTTAGATACTTTCTTAACTTTAATTTGTTTTGGTTTCTTAACTTTAATTTGTTTTGTTTTAGAATTAAAATATCCAAGTGTATAAGATGTCGATGTTCAGGAGTTCCACTGGAAATGGTAATGAAATATGAAACTTTTTTTTATAGTTAAACACATTTTTTATTGTTAAAATGTTTGTCATACTTTTCTCTACTCATAACCCCTCCCCCCCATCTTTCCTCTACACGATGCAACCACTCCATGTTCTCCTATCTCCCCACTACTCCTCTAAGCTCTTTTCCCCCTTCCATCTCCTTCAAGCCCTCTTAACCTTCTCTATTCTATCTTCCAGTCTCTCCATATTCTCCCCTTCTTCTTTATTACCTTTCCTTCATCCTTCTCAGAAGACTTCAATAGATCATGTCCATCGTGTTCAGATTAGTCCACCACAATCTCATTCTTGGCAGCAATTATTATTCATCTTTAAAAAAACAAAAACAAGAATACAACCATCACTACTGAATATCTAACTCTATCAGGGCCTGGGGTTATGAGATTCCTGGCTCTGGGTAGAAGATTAGAGTAAATTCCCAACACCCTCAGCAATATTTATTGACCCATCTATCAGTGGGCCTCTGTTATGGGGTGCATTTCACTAGTGGGGGGAGGGAGGGGGGAAGAAGGTCAAATGCAACTTATTACATTTTCCCATGCGCACCAGACTTATTTGCAACAACTCTGCTGGGATATAACAAATTTTAAAAATACAAAATGAACCAAGTTAGGCAGGATTTGTTATGTTAGTGTGTATTAACCATTTTTATTTATTGGGAATGATGGCCTCTCTTTCCTTTCTAATAGAGTCAAAGAGTGCCACTCTTGGATCTGTTAACAGGCAGAATGTTATACAAGAAGCAAACAGAAGGAGGACACTTTTGCAGGACAACAGCTGGATAAAAAATCGACCAGAAGAGGAAGAGGAAAAGATGTAAGAAAATTACTAGCCAGAGGCTTAACTAAAAACCACAGGGCCATGGTGTAAAAACTGCCCTGTGTACCCCCCGGTGTCTAATTCTCCCCCCCCCAGTCCCTCCATGTGTCTCATTCCTTCCCCCCAGCCTCTCCATCTCATTCACCCCTATCCCCACCATGTGTCTCATCCTCCTCTCTAGCCCCTCCATGTGTATCAATCCCCCACCCCTCTACTTGTCTCATTTTCACCACCCATCCATCCATGTGTCTTATTTCCATCTACCCCTTAATGTGTCTCCTTCCTCCCAATCCCCTCAATGTGTCTCATTTCCCCCAAGCTCCTCTATGTTTCTCATTTCCTCCCCCCAGCCTCTCCATCTCATTCACCCTTAGCCCCTCCATTTGTCTCATCACCCCCCTCCAGACCCTCCATGTGTTTTATACCCTCTCCCTGCCCCTCCTGTACCTGCTCACCACAGTATCCAGTCTGACAGAAAGTGCTCTATCAGTGAGCACTTCCTGTCAGACTGCAGTCTGCTCGGTTACGCTACATACAGTGTCTGGCAGGAGGGGAGCAGCACAGAGCTGCCCTCCTGGTGGGAACCCATGGCATGACGGACCGGGTAGCAGCTGCGACCCCTGCGATAGTAATGCCATTGGGGCTGGCTAGCAATTTATTCTGTCAGTTTCATGTTAGCTGTTAATTTTAAGACAAGGTTTATTGTGTCATATTTATTTAAAGCTTGCAAAAGTTCTGAAACTTTAATGTGAGCATCATGACCATAACAAGTTTAGGCATGTAACAGTTTAGATGGAAACAGTAGTGGTCGGCACAACTGTGACAGACTTCTAAGATCAAAGAAATAGGTGTGTCAAAGCAGACAAAGTATTTCAAAGATAAATTATGATATTTAATAATAGCATAATAAATATTTCTGATCTTAGGTTATGTGGAAAGCTTGATGCCACATGAGTTATTTGCATTACCTGAGCTCATTTGAGCTAATTATTATTAATTAGAAAATGAACACAACTTCAACTGACTTGGAGATGAATGCAATAGTCTTTCTAGCTGGTCAGAATGGAGTTTAGTGCAAATGCTGTTCCCAGCAGCTGTGAGCATCTGCGTTTTGTAGGAAGCTGTATTAAGATAACATTTATTAACTTGTTAAATTGAAGGTCACATACAGAACCAAATCCCAAACATACATCAATATGGCTTGACCCGATTGAAACTTGTCAAACCTGTAAACAGGAGTGAACTGGAGTTTCACAGAGTAGCAGTTGAGCTGTTCTGAGTCGTTTGCATTCAATAGTTGCTTTAAGGGATTCTCCAGTGCCAGGAAAACATATTAGTTTAGAACACGGACGTCCCTCTAGTGACTGTCTAGTAGATAGCCACTAGAGGAGGACTAGAGCATGTGCCATGCACGCATTAGCTCTTCCTCATAGAAAAGCATTGGCTCAGTGTTTTCCTATGGAGTTTAGAAGACGCTGGACGCTTTGCATGAGGATGTCCAGTGTAGTTTCACGGAGTCAAACTCCATAAAAAACCAGGAAGAGCCTCTAGTTACTGTCTGTGAGACAGCCAGTAGCGGCTGTCTTTATCCTGTAATGTAAACCTTCTAGTTTCTTTGACACAGCAATGTTTGCAGATGCAGGGCCAAGGGGACCGGGACAGTGCACCCAGACCACTTCAATAACATCAAGTGGTCTGGGTGCCTATAGTGTCCCTTTAACAAAGAAGTGTTGTGCAAGAATTACAAGTCACTTCCTGCATACACAGCCTTGTTGGTTTATAGTGCTTTATGTATATTTTATATGCGTGTCTTACTTTTCATCGAACCATGACATAAAAAGTAGAACATTTTTTACATACTTACCATAATTTATTTTTTCTGGCTATTCTACATGGCAGCATCACTTATGGGTTAGCTCCTCCCCATAAGTGATACTACCATATTTGTTCAGAAAAGTAGAAAATTGTTTACACACTTACCGTAATTTTCTTTTCCTGGCCAAACATGGCAGCATCATTTATGTGGAGGAGCTAACCCAAAAATAATGCTGCCATGTTTGGCCAGGAAAATAATTTAAGATACTTACAAGTTTAGTTGTTGAAGTTGGCAAACAGCTGTCTTTCTCAGTGTTGATGAAATATTTTATTGTTGTAGATTTGACTATGTGAAACTATTTCAATATAATAATCTAATTTATATGAACAATTATTGTACTTTTGTCTTTACAGAAGAGATGAAAATTATGGGAAAAACGTGTTGAGTCGATACAAATCACAGGATGATCTGGACAGGTAACAGATGATTCAGTTTTTAGTTTTTTTTACTTTTGAACTTTGTACTACAACACACACACAAGGGTAGATAACCAAATACTTGTCATTTTGTGATAAAAATTTAAATCATAACCAATGCTCTTTATCGTGAGATTGTAATAGAAATGTAAAGAAATGTTTTCAATATTTTCTAAAATGCCCTATCTTCCATTAACTTATCATTTCATTTGACCTGAATGATATTGGGGTGGGGATATGCCTTACTAGGGAATACCAGTTTTCTTTCAACAACCATCTTAAAAAAGCTCTAATCTGTGTTCTATCTGATTACTGTATCATTTCTAATTTCCACTTATGCCTTTAAATGTTTGGGTAGAATGCTAAATTACAAATTCCTTTTTTTTACCGCTAGACTCTACTGAGTTATCTTTTAGAAGTGTAGCCTAAAAGATTTTCTGTTAAATCCCAAGGTAATTTCTCTTAACCAGTTCTTTTCTTGGCCTCCTTGTAAGATTTTGTCACCGCAGTATTCCTCCAATCAGTCTTTAGGACTAATCAAGTCCTTTCATGGTGTTTCTGCTTTAGCACATGTGAATTAATCAGTGGCTCAGTAAGTTTCACATAGATTTAAGTGCAAAACTAAAGATATTATCATAGTGTGATATTCATCTAACCTCTAGGCTATTTGGTCAGTTCTGTTTATTGGTTTGAAGACCACAACTGTAGATCACCAAACCTCTATATGTGTGTTGGAGATTGAGTCACCTGATATCTATCTGATTGATCAGCTTGCTGTCCTTAAAGGACCACTATAGGCACTCAGACCACTTCCGCTCAATTAAGTGGTCTGGGTGCCAGGTCCCTCTAGTTTTAACCCTGCATCTGAAGACCTGCTATGTTTCACTGAGGGTTAATCCAGCCTCTAGTGGCTGTCTCAATGACAGCCGCTAGAGGCGCTTCCTCATTTTTTCAATGTGAAAATCACAGTGAGAAGACGCTGACGTCCATAGGAAAGCATTGAGTAATGCTTTCCTATGGGCAGTTTGAATGCATTCAGCGCTGACGTCGGCAGAGGGAGGAGAGTTCCCCAGCGCCGAGGGATCCTGGCGCTGGAGAAAGGTAAGTGGCTGAAGGTGTTTTAACCCCTTCAGCCCAGCGGGAGGGTGGCCCTGAGGGTGGGGGGGACACACACAACCTAATGACCCTATAGTACCAGGAAAACGAGTTTTGTTTTCCTGGCACTACAGTGGTCCTTTAAAGAAACACTTTAGTGTTAGGAATACAAAGCTATATTCCTAGCACTGTAGTGTTCCCCTGACCCGACGCTCTCCCTATCCAGGAAAAGATTTAAAAAAAACTCTAATTGTGAAATGGTAAAAGGATCTTAATGTAAACTTTACCCCCTATGAATGGTAGCATACTACTATTCAATTAAAAAAAATATGCATTGTATATCTTTGTTAGAACTACATCTAAAGATTTTATACAGATGATATCAGGTTCCCTTTAAACTACATCAAATTTATGAAGCTTACTCACCTATATGCTGGAGATGTAATAAAGACATTGGCACATTACTTCATATATGTACACACAATCCACAGGGCCCGGTGCGAAACTGATCCATGGGGTCCCCCCTATTCCCTCCCTCTCCCGCCCCCCATCCCCCGACAGACAGACACACACACACACAGACACACATACATACATACATACACACACATAGACACATACAGACAGACAGATACATACAGACACATGCACACATACATACATACATACATACATACAGACACATTCATACATACATACAGACACACACACAGACACATACAGACACACACATACAGACACACACACAAGACACACATACAAACAAAGACACATACATACAAACAGACAGGCACACATACATACATACAGACCGACACACACACACACACACACACAAACACACACAGACATGCACACATACATACATACATACATACAGACACACACATACATACAAACACACATACATACATACAAAGACACATACATTCAGACACACACAACACATACATACAAAGACACATACATATAAACACACACACACAAAATATTTTAGTCACTCTCCTGTTTCCTACCTTTTAGGTGCAGGAGGGTGACTGGGGTCCAGTGGTGGCTCAGGTGGATGGGAGTCAGAGTTCCCACTCTGACTCCCTGCTCTTCCTCCCGCGTGGCTCTCAGTGTTAGCTGGGAGGAGTGACGTGCCGTCACTTCCTCCTAGCTCTGTGATGTAATCACAGGGGACCCGGTCACGATGTTAAAGTGCCCAGCGCTGACCGGGCCACCTTACAATCCATATCCATTGGGTGGCCCTGACAGCATGGGCCACCTGATGGACCCCTTGGGTGGCGGCCCCGGCGGTTTGCCATGCGGGCCGGGGCCGCAAAAGATAATGGCGGGTACCCGGTCGCAGCTGCGACCCCTGCGACCGCGGTATATATGCAGCTGCATATATGGTATACCTGTGAGATATTAAATGATATCAAGGCACATATATCTTCCCTGATATCAGATCTAATTCAGGATTCATGAAATATTGGATTTAATTGTATTCTATATATTCTATATATTTTTGGCAATATTGTTAAAATTGAAAACTAAATAAAATAGAATAAATATAAAACAAAACAAAAAAAACTTTTTTTCACTTAACCAATTCCAGCACCAATGTCACACTCCTCCTCTGGTGGGGGGATCTAATGTGTATGCACAGTGAGAACATTAAGGCTTCCCAATAGTAAAGCATTGACTAAGTGCTTTCCTATGGGGTTTTTCAACACACTGGACATCCTCATGCAAAGCATGAGGCCATCCAATTACATTTCTATGATTTAAACTCTGTGAAACTCCAGGAAGCGCCTCTAGTGGCTGTCTAGTAGACAGTGGCTGTCTAGTAGGCAGTCTTAACACTGCAATGTAAATATTGCAGTTGTTCTAAAACTTTAATGTTTACATGGCAGGGTTAAGGGAACATAGACATTGCACCCAGATCACTTCAATTAGATGAAGTGGTCTGGGTGCCTATAGTGTCTTTTAAAGTTACATTTCTGTCTAAATGATGGTTGTGTACATCATTACCTTTGTCTCCTGTCTCATATTGTCATCTGACACTCAGAAACACCAAGGTAGTATAATTCAGTGTTCATTTTGGCAGCAAATTTCAATTTAGTCTTAGTCATAGTGTTTTAACAAAAAAGCCATTTAAGCTGTGTTTAAGTCATCTGAATTGTTTTAGTTTTAGTCTAGTTTTAGTCGACTAAATCTCCAGTAGATTTTAGTCGACACAACTAGAAATGGGTTTTGTTAAAGCCTCTATCTGTTTCATTTATACCTTCACCAGCCCCTCTGTGTCTCTTTGTGTTATCCCAGCACCGCTGGGTATCTCTATCCCAAGCCCTGGTCTGTCTCTTTTGCCACTTAAACAGTCCTTCTATGCAGTGTTAATTTTGGCGGCAAATTTCAACCTAGTTTTAGTCATAGTGTTTTGACTAAAAAGCCATTTTTAGCTTTAGTCATATTTTAATTATCTGACTTTTTTTTTTTTAAGTCTCAAAAATTTTAAATAAAACTGTTGACAAAATTAACACTGGTGTAATTGGCCACAAATTATAAACAAAAAGTAAAAATCTGTGCTACTAGTTGCTTTTAGTTATAAGTTTTTTTTGCAAATAGCCTGAACTTGAATTCACATAATCTCCTGTCTTAATCAAGTCTCTTATCACCATTCCTGACAACCAGCTGACTCAACTCCAAATTATATACAAAAAAATACCATCTAGTTAATTTGCTTCTTTCATTTCTGTTGATCTGCCTGAAAAAGGCTGTACTGGCTTCCTATCTATTCAAGGATAATATTGTAACTTTAATCACAAAACACTCTCTAAATCAATCCCTTTATTCTTCTCAAGGCTCCTCACCTCTTTTATACCTTTCTTAGACAACTATTTGTGAGGTTTCTGTCTATTGAACATTCTACAAGGTGGTCTTTTGGCTCTTCTCCACCATCATTACTTACAAAGCCCCCCACCACAAATTTCTTTACAATTATGATATCCATATACTAATTTTCATAGATAAATATACATATTTTGTATACAGATATACATATTTCACTATCATCCTTTAAAAATACCAGATAATAAAGTAGCATAAATATTGAGTGGAGGAGTTTTATACAAACATCTACAGGGTTATTCATAAAAGTGAGTATTTAAACTGAATTTAAAATTTATGGTGAAAGGAGCCAAAATGAAATTCTCTAAGACAGTTATGCTTCAGGTTCTGCCTTTTTGGTAATCCATTTGAAATTCAATAATTCAATATAAAGTATATTTTATTTATTGTCTACATGTCTGCAAATTGACTAATTTTAAGGTAACCACAGCCTGCAAATATTTATTTTGAATTTCACAAAGTGCATATTAACTCCATCGGTTTGTTACATTTATCTTTCAGAGACACAGATAAAGGAGATACGAAACCCATACATAATAGGTTTAAGTCTGATGATGCTTTGGACAGGTATTGTATGCGATTTTCACGTATGCCATAACTATTAAACATAAATTGCTTCATATTATCTCTGCAGGTATTAACACAGGTTTAACAAATTCAACACAAACTGCTTTAGGAGTTCTTTTTAGTAAGCAATATATGCTGCCCTGTACTCCTCAGGTAATAAAACCCATTCATGCATACCCTTAATAGTTGATGTAGGTGAAAGGAGTACAACCTATTTAGCAGAAATGTGGGATGTTAGAGCTTAGATTTGAACATTTTAACACGAATATCATTAAAGGGATGCTACAGTGTCAGGATTACAAACGTATTTCTAACACTATAGTTCCCCCTGCCCTTTCGTATCCCTCCCCGGCCAATAAAAGCCCACCTGATCTCAGCGCTCTGCCTCCTCCAAAGTAAGCTGAAGTGGGGAGAGGCTAATGCACATGCACTGTGAATGTAGCGAGTGCATTAGGTAATTAGGTAATTTTACAACTGGGGTCTACCCATTCCCCACCCCTGCAGTAGTAATGCATTGATTATCACATCAGCAGTTGAATGGCTTATCCTCAGTCAATAATTATAGAGTCCATATATGTTACTAATTGATAATAAAATAGATGTGAAATGAGTGCTATATAAACTGTACAATTTTCTTTGCCTATAAGTACTTTAGAGCTATATCCATAATGACTAGTGGCCTGATGTGTCCATTTTCTGAAATTCTAATTGTATAATAATAAAATCTCTAGCACGAATGGTAAGTATGAAGTATGAAAGTATCCCTTTAAGTAAAGTAATGGTGGAAAAAACTGCTGGATTCTGCTTCCTTAATAAAACTATTGTAGTATTTTGTCTTAAAATGCATTCGTAATTTGGTGTATGCATGTTGACAAAAAATATTAACAACATTGGTAATACACTGTGTTTATATGGAAGCATGAGTATCTTTTCATGCATGCTGTTGTATTTATCTAATTCAATATCACTAATAATTAATTGTATTAATAATTGTTCAATTAACGTACTGATGTTTAAAATATCCTGAGAAATACATTTAAAATAGGTATCCATATTTCCCCTTAAAAAAAAAAAAACATACTACACATACCACTCCTTAGATAGCCACTGGAGATGCTTCCTGGCTCAGCCCTGCCGTTCAGCATCTCTGCATGGAGACACTGAATTTTCCTCATAGAGATGCATTGATTCAATGCATCTCTATGAGGAGGTGCTGATTGGCCAAAACTGTGTTTTAGCCAATCCAATGCTTTCACCATGGGAAAGTAATGAATTGCAGGTGGACCTGTAGAGAGCTAAAAATAAGGTGAGTTTTAACCCATTCTGAGGGGGCTATAGGAGGGGCGGGGGAGAGGGTAAGCCACCTAAATGGTGGGTTTTCACTATAGGGTCAGGAATACATGTTTGTGTTCCTGACCCTATAGTGATCCTTTAAAAATATTTGCCTTGACATGAAGGCCCTATAGCATATATGTCTCCCATTAAGGTCTTCTGGTCATTCAAAGTTAACATTAACATAAATCACAGCTTAACATTCAATTATTATTAGTATAATAATTATTAGCAGTTATGTAGTGCCAACATTTTCTACAGTGCTTTACAGTTAGATAATGGAGAGATCTGAAGGCCCTGCTCAAATGATCTAACAATCTATAAGGATTTTAGGTAAATTGATATATATCATCACGATTCTTGCCAAAAGACACTTACTGTGTGTCTTAGAACCTTGGGCAAAGAGTCTTGCCTATTCTTTGGCTCTAACCAGCTGGGTTATTTACGAAAGGGAGAATTCCAGGTGAATTCCAAGTGAATTCCAAGTTTAAGGTTAAAAAGTCAGCTATACTCTTAGTTCAGCTACTCTGGCCTTCAATTGTAAATTCACGTTGAATTCTCACTTTAGTGAATAACCCTGATAGTTGTTATTGTGTTGTCTTTTGTGACTCATTATATTGTTTTTATGACCTTAAAGGTGCAAAGGATAGTAATTATAGTAACTGTTGAAGAAGCAATCGTATATTTTGTAACATCAACACAATCTGGTCATTAAAGGAAGACTACGAGTACGATAACCATTATAGCCTGCTATAGTAGCGATAATGTCAGGAATGTGTTAGTACCATCCCAGATTAAGTAGTCAAGCTGTATAAGAATGACACCTCCTCCTTCTCTGCAAGGTAGATCCGCTGAAGTCTTGCAGTATAGAGCTGCACTCATTTGCTAAGAGTGTTTCCTGAGTACTATCAGCCAATAAGTATGGTCCTACACTTCCAGGCTTAGCTCAGTGGCAGGAGACTAGTTACTCTGAGAAGGTATAACCTTACAACAGACTGTAGTGGTTATGTGGCTTGGAGTCTTGGAGCGTTCCTTTAAATATTTCACGCCGCACAAAATGCCCTGGTTATTTACTATTAGCAGTTCCATAATGCCCTGCTCTTACTAAATATGTGGAACATTCAATGTTAGAATAGGATTTTAAAAGGCCAAATTACTATGATTGAATGAACTACTAATGGTCCTTAAGATGGAGTAGCTCTTATTAATAGAATCCTACACTCAGGTTTGATAGTGCATCACGTAGGATAGTTAGAAAACATAATTTAACATAGCTGTTCTTTACATAGAATGCAATCCAGTCCACAATGCCAAGCTTTCTATTTCTGTAAGAGCAAGAAAACCAAGTAAATCACTCGACCTCTAGCTTAGAACATATTATATTACCCAAACTGCAAAAAAAAAGGAGTTAGTTTATACATAAGTCAGCTTTCCTAGAACAGGAAGTTGTACACTGATAGAAGCAGATCCATATTACCAGTGGGATAAGGCAAGTTATTTGATATAAATAAGTCAGCAGGGATTTAAAGACAAGATCACATTTAGGTCATACAAAAGTAAATAGTTTTGTAGTTGCATACCATGCTCATTAAAATAATAAAACAATTTTTGTTTTAAAAAAATCTGGAGTTACTGGAATGTTTTTCAATCTATTAATGTATCCAATAATGTTCTAACATTTATTATAAAATAAATCTATTAGGTAATTTAAATCTTTTACTTTTAAGTTCCCAAATCCTTCTTTGAAATTTTGCCCAATTTACATGGAGTTTTTAATTGTACACTATCCTCAAATGACAGAAAAAAAAGGCATTCAATGATTTATGTAGAGATGTATGATACATATAATAAAATTGTGTTTGCTTCTTCTCTTTGTTTCTATGTTAGTGTTGTGTGTAAATAGTACATTGTTATTAAAGAAGGCCATATTGCATTGGTATCTATTTCTTCCAAGGTTTCTTTATAATTATCAGCTTTTCTGTTCATTGCAATGTACTGCAAATCTCCCATCTTAGATGTATATTATATTTTTTTCGTTTTTTTTTTTTAGCTCTCACAGATTTGAACAAACTGCAAAATCTGTGATAACTGCCTTTAAATTTGTGGTTCCATATTTTCCTACAGAATCTCACTGAAACACACACCAGAAAGAGGAAATAGATCCGCAACTCTGGAAAGAGTTCCCAAGAGGTAGTTGGTTAAATCTGGAATTTTAGTAGACCAGTACCACCATTTGTTGATGGGGGGGTGGAGGGTTGCAGGTTACAAATTTTTATTGCTGTAGATATTGAAATCAGAAAAATATTATCAAATTTACTGCTATTAGTGAGCCAAAATGTGGGCTGTAAAAATAGTTGAGATAGTTTGAAATGTGTTCAAATTAACAATTGTAATGATCTATCAAACTGTCAAACCGCTAATGGTTTAACTACAATTTACAGTTTAGGAACTAATTCTTCAAAGTATTGGATGCAGTTATTAGGAGAGAAAACACAAAATAAGGAGATTATTTATTGTCATATTATAATATGAGAAATCGTATTGAATACAATGCTAGTGCTTAATAAAGAATAATAACTAATAATAAATGGAGAGAGGAATGTTATGCTATTATAATGAAATAGATTTATCAGAGAGAAAATCTCAGTTTAGTGACTTGAAACTATTTCAATGTTCCAAGAAAGAACGGAATTATCTTTACATGTTGCAAGATTCCCTGAGCTGATTCTGCAGTACACTCCTGTAAAAATAAAATACCTTTGTTACTTCTATAAAATCTTGCTCAAGCGGTTATGAACTAAATAACCAACTGTACTTCCTGTTTTCAGAAGCAAATTCCATAACACTCCCTTCTAGGCAAATATCTTAACCATTTATGGCCCATTGGATACAATTTGCTAAAATCTTAGGTCCCTGAATATTATGAAAAAAACAATGAAGTCCTAGTGTAATTAATATAATAATATATGTTATCAATATTCAATATATATTTTAATATAGTTAACATGTCACATAATAATATATGTTTCAATGTCATCATATGCCTCAGCACAGTACAATGGGGAGATAAAATAGCAAATGAATGCCAAACTAATTACGGTGAACATAAGCAAGGTCTAAAAAAGGGTCCTGAAACACAAAATGTATCATCACAAACAAAACAAAAAACACTTTTCTGTGCCTTGCATAATATAACAGCAGTAGTCACTTAACTTCATATTACATGAGGTTGTTATTATCCACCAATTACTTGTATGCTTGCCGTGATTATTATTATCAAAGGAGTCATAGGGCATGAATTACAACAATAAATCAATAAAAAGTAATACACAAGATAATAAAAGTATTGCAGTAAACGGTAACTTTTTTTGTAGTAGAAAAGTGAACAAGGTATTCAGGTGTCCATCAATAAGTGAACACAGTGGGGGTTATGGTGGAAAAGGTACTTCTGGGTATTTATGTTATTGTAGTTCATTGATGAAACATTAGCAAATGCTTTAGATTCATTGGTTTAAAGATGGCGAAGGGGTGGGTAAAGGACAGTCAAGAATATTGTGGCAGTAAGTACCAGAGAAACAGGGCAGTTACGGATGAACCTCAAGTTTAACCCCTTAAGGACACATGACATGTCATGATTCCCTTTTGTTCCAGACGTTTGGTCCTTAAGGGGTTAAAGAGGGAATATTTGATGAAAAAAGTAGAGATCAATAGAATTGCTGGAGGGGTTTTGCAAAGACTTTTTTTTTTCATTCTTAAAGAAATGTTAGCTAATTATGGGTTTATGAAGGGGAGACGGAAAACAGCAATGACTTAAATAAAAAAAAATCTGAGCAGTCACATTAGGAATTAATTGGAGTTACAGTAGAGAAGGTATGAGAGGATAATGGCATGTACTAAAGTTGAGAAATTAACAGATTTAAGAGATATCTTAGTTGGAGAAAACAGGTCCAAATATAGAAAGTGAGATTGAAGGAGAGGGAATAGTCAATAAAGACACCAAGTTATTGAGCTAGATTAGTTGGTGATATCATAATGTTGTAATGGTAAACAAGAGAAGTTGAAAAAAAGAATAAAAGTGGTTATTAAAGCACAGGAAGTTAATTATGAGATTATGTATAATTCTCTCATATAATTACATGCAGAATGAAGAAGGGGAGGGGATGGTAGAAGACATTTTTATGTTAGGATGTATAGCATAATAGTAACTTTGAAAGAAGGTGGGGATGTTAATGTGGATAAAATGAGGTTAACAAGATGCATAAATGATGACTCTTGTGTGGAAAATAGTATGTTAAGGAGACATCAGTGGGTAGCGCCAAAAGGTAAGGTTGTTAAAGATAACGAGGAATGGAAGGTGGAGTGATGAAAAAGGGCAGACACAGTTTGAAAAGAGGAAATTATTCTGCTGATGTTGTAGATTTTGTCATTTATGAATCTGGGCAAGAGCTTGAGCACTGGATGGGAAACATGAAACTATCACCATGGAAACCAATAAACCGCTCCTGCTAATTTTTACACTTTTAGTTTGTTGCCCATGAATTGCTATTTTGTATTTAACCAACCATATAATTTACTTGTACCAGTAGCTAAGCCAAACGAATATGTGAACAGCACTTTTCATTGAACAGTTTGTCCTGTAATTATACAAGCAAAATGCAGTATTGCTGCAACACAACATTAGGTTATCACCAGGATACCCAGTCTCCTGATTCCCCAATAGGTTAGCTCTCACTTTGCATGGACTTATTGGACTTATAAGATTAACACACCTGTTACAAGTCTTTGATGTCCAAACAGATTATGTCTTGTTTGTTTTACGTTTGCATGTTTCAGTAACTTCTTTTTCTAACCAAGCATCAATACACATACTCACAATCTAAACAGAGTGTGGATTATTGTACTAATTTGTAACATATGCCCACCTTTTAAATGAATGTGTTATACTGATTTCAAATGAATGTGTTATACTAAGGGGTAGTAAACCCATATCTATGGCAAAGACGGAGCTACGTTGCTATTGCTGTGAAAATAAATAATTCTGGGATGTTATTTTTCTTTTTCATGTGCAGCGATGAATCTGATGGTAAAAGGTAATAATTTATTCAACTAAACTTCCAATGAGTTAAACATGTCTGTCTGTTATTTGCTAGTTTTGTACAAATTAAGGTAATAATTACCATGTATGACCAATTATTTAATTCCGCTGATCGCTATTTTATTATTGTACATTTTTAAAATGAAAAGTACATGCTGATATTTTTTTATTTGTTCTCTATTGGTGACAAAGTGCTTCAAATTCTTTAATCTCAAAGTGGCTTACTATCTTACTCTTTGAATAAACACAGTTTCTCTGGGTGTTTAATTAACCTTCAAATGTGCACAACTCAATTTTCTTACATATATATATATATATATATATATATATATAATAACTGATTGTATTTATAACATTCATAACTAAGTATAGCAGTCTTCATGTGATCACATCACTATTAATATTATTATCATTAACAGGCAGTCATGGTCTCCTGGAAACAGAACAGCATCTACAACTACAACTACAACTACAGAGGAAAACAAAAGGTATTTTTTTTTATCACAAATAATGATAGTCATACAAAAGCGCTATGTTTCACTGTAATTTGTAAACTTTCCAGGTATGGGTGATCAGTATATTATGTCAGGAAGCAAGTTTTTATTTTACATAAAGAATCTCTGTTTTAGACTGATGTTTCAGGTGCAAGACAGTTCGGAAGCAAGATGAGGAGAGTGGAGGCAGGAAAAAGAGAGTTTGTGCTATTCTTCATGTTTTGACTTGCAAATGAAGCTGGGCATACATTGAACTGACAAAGACCAACTAAACCTTAATACATGGTACCTGATGCTCCATGTTATATACATTGATATTTACTGCAATGCACTGTCCTTTTTTTAATATATATTAACATGTAGAAGAAGATGAAAAATTCAGAAGTGAATTCTTTGTAAGCCGACTTCTATCACTTTTTTATTTATTTTTTTTAGTAATTTTACTCAGTAAATTTATGCATTTCAGATTAATCACCAATGTAAGAGATTACAGTTAGTATGTTATCATGTGCTTACTCTCCATGTATGGCATGATTGCAAAGAATAAAGGACAGCCCTTTTAACTTCAGACCCACAGCTCACAGATATTATTACAAAACATATTGAAAACACACTGACACAATATTATCGATTTCCTTGAACCTCCACTGAAGAGATACTAGAAGAGTTTACATGCAGTTCTTATAGCCTGCTAAACATTGCAGAGTTTTGCATCTATTTCAGATAAGTGTACCAAAAGTGGGTACTGCGTGGGTACTCAATTGGCAGCTGGAAGCACAAGCAGGGATGTATTTACCACAAGGCAAACAAGGCATTTGCGTAGGGCGGCACTTTCAAGGGGGTGGGGGGTGCCATAAAATGTCACCCCGAGCTTCCAGACAAATGCCTTGTTTGCCTCGTGTTCTGGGGCTGTCCACCTTACTGTAAGTGAGTGAGTGAGTGTCAGTGTGTGTCTGTGAGTGAGAATGGGTATGCCTGTGAGTGTGTGTCAGTGTGTGTATGTCATTTTATGTGTATCTGAGAGTGTGTGCCTGTCAGTGAGTGGGTGTGTCAGTGTGTGTCTGTCAGTGAAAGTGTGTGTTGGTTAAACAGTGTGTGCCAATGACTGTATGTGTGTGCCAATGACTGTGTATCTGTCAGTGAGTGTACATCAGTGCATGTATCAACGAGGGCATGTGTCTGTCAGTCAAAAAAATGGCCTTGACACGAATTGGGGAGGCAAATTTAGATTTTGGGGGTGCCCAAATTTAGTCGTGCCTAGGGCAGCACAAATCCAAAATACACCACTGAGCACAAGTAGAGGCCTATTAAATGTAATCTCTAGGTAACAACCCTTTTTGAGTTGCCTCAGTAGAATCACATAGGTTATATACAAAGAGGGCTTTCCTGAAACAGCAAGCTAGGGGGCATTAAAGGAACACTATAGTCACCCAGACCACTTCATCTCAATGCAGTGGTCTGGGTGCAGCATCCCTGTCCCTTTAATCCTTTAACCCTGTAATGTAAAACTTTGCAGTTAAGAAACTGCATTGTTTACATTGCAATGTTAAGTTCACCTCTAGTGGCTGTTAGTATAAGAGCCAATAGAGGCGCTTCCGCTACACTGACACGGAGTAAAACTCTGTCATGTGACAGACACTCCCCATACAAAGGCATTATGTTAATCATTTCCTAAGTGAATGTTTGAATGAGTAGGTGGCCCTCGCTGCACATGGGCCATAGCTCCTCTGTGAGATAGTTATTGACTTCTCTGTGGCAACACCAGGGTAGAAGTGGCAAGCAGCCTTGGCGCTGGATCAAGGTCAGTAAAAATGGTCTTTCACCCATTCTTTGCCAAATACCTAATACTACTAGGGACAAGAACTCTGTAACGTTAACAATACAGATTTGTATTGTTTCTTTAACTGTGTACTTCGGGAAAAGGATTTTTCTCTGAAAGACCAGTACCTGTAGTTTCCATTTTATTAACCTCTGCAGCACATTTTCTGGGGTAATGGAAAAAGAAACTGTTATACCCGGGGAAGTGACAGCTACATTTTAATGTGATAAGATCTGCTACAATTGTTGAGATCGTATAACTTGCTGTGCTTGTGGTGGTCTAAGATCAGCTTTTATAATGTTTGTTCTTATGTTTTTCTTGGTGGCCATTTTGGCCGTTTGTTTATGAATTTGACATTAATATAAATATCTCAAAGCCTGAAATTTATCCTAAGCAAGACCCTAGTTATATTTTTCCATAGAACATTACCTAACAAAGTGTTTTGTCACACTAATTGTAATGTATTATTGTATGTCCACATCATGATACATTAATATGGATGACTATTAAACCCATAAGATTACTTGAAGCGTTAATTATATCATTAAATGCTCACTACAATCATTATAGCACTATTAGCAACTTTTAATTTTAACATAATACATTGACATTAATAAGTTGCTGCTTAATACATATACCTTACAAGTTATATGAGGATTCTTTGAAAATTAATACTGTTAAATTAAGTTCTCATGTGTAGATTGTTTTTGAAAAGGGTATTCTTCAGTTGTTAATTTCATGTACAATTCTAGTACGAATTAAGTAATTATCACATATTAAATAAATCATATAGACTCATAGTTTAATGGGTTATATATATGTAAAAATATCTCTTTATGAGATGCAGATCATATGCAATAAATATTCCAGTCAATCGCTACTGTAATATCCAATATATGGAGTGTACTATTTACCACAGTGCCTATGTCAACTGTATGACCTTGGAGACTAACCTTCCTTGTCAATATGAACCACTTAATAAATCTATACAGCTCTTACACCATTAATATTTTAGGCAAGGGAAGGAAATTCCAGATGGGTCATTGCTAGATATCCTCTTGTAAGTCATACATTTTTCTAAAAAAAAATATGAGATGTATTTTTATAGCTACTCAAATTGGAAGCACCATCAATTTTTCCATTGCTGAGATATAGTTGTTTAGTATAGGATGTATCAAGTAATTTAAACCTTCACAATACACTTTGCTTTAAGTTGCCAAAAGCACATATGTCTGGGATATTCAAGAACTATCACATTTTACTGTGTGGCTCTCAAGAGACTCAATTCTTGTAACGTAGTATTACTAGAATACATTAAGGAGATTCAAGCTAAAAAAAGAACCAGTCGGAATTAGAGTAATAGGAGATGTATATATTCGTCTTAGGAACCTCTGGGCTGAAGGGTAACCAAATCTCTGAGATCTTCCAGTGGGGAAACCGTAAGGGTTTATTCATTAAACAGTGTAAAAACTGATTTGTAAACTTCAAGGTAAAATTACTAAGCTATGACTATGGATGAGGTGGTGAATGTTGACCTACATTTTGCTATTTGGTTTTCAACTCACTACAATTCTAGAATCAGTGAGCAAAACCAGTAGTGGTGGTATTGACATTTTAACGTCTCTCTTGGTTCAGGCTGTGTCTGAACAATTACTGATATTTAGCACTAACTGCATGACACATTGGGATAAAGACAGCCAGGAAGTATATATATATATTTATTTTTTTAACCTTATTATATAGCAAAGCAACATAATCTGACAACTCCCATGCTTATCTCTTGTGTAAAGGTAATATTTATGACATATTTTTATTACAAATATAAAATAGAATATATGAAATTTGGATGTATGTCTGCGCCTTAAAAATATATGTTAATTACTATAACAGATTATCGTAATGCTACAAAAATCACACAAACCTGTTTATTATGGTATTTTGCCAGTAGCCCCAAGCCATTCATTAGTGGCCAACCAATTAATGTCATCTCTATCTATAGACAGAATGATGCAAAGAAGAGAAAATAACCAGGAAGAAATCACCACCCTTTGTAATAAGTGGATAGTTATCCGAATTATGTGACATTTGTCATTGGCTTATTATGACCCTTATTAAGATGTGATTGGCTTGTTATGTGCTTTATTACAAGTCTTATTTTTCTGGTAGACTGCACCAGCCAGAAAAGTATGTTAGTCACTAGTGTATCATCAATGGTTGTACGTCATTGCTTGCATAGTTGCATTAGTATGCAAGTTAAAGCACTCTTATTGAACAATCATTTCAATTACCAGAATAACATTTTACTCTGTGCCAAGAAGCCTAACTAATCATTTCTTTATGACATAAGTGTAGTTTGAGACTTACAGAGAAATTGTGTTCTGATAGTGACATTATAGTCAAAGAGGCTATCTGTGATTATAGTAGTAATCACTTGAACATTCATTGGGGGAAAATGATTACTATTTCCTTATGAATGGGAATTTGAAAAAAAAATGAAGTGTCCACATATCCAAGTGCCAAACTACAAAGTTAGAGTTATGTTTGCTGGAAGAACCATTGCAGGATGCAGGATGCTAGTTAAAAAGAAAACAGACATCCAATCAACAACAGAACAAACTGTAAAAAAGTAGTTTAATAACAAGTTTCACTAAGCAATGAAATACAGGTAATTGGAAAAAAAGTGCTTGATTTTTGGCAAAAATTGCTAATGTTAAAGAATAATTTTGATCCACTATGGTCCCAGGTGGTTATTTTAATGTAAGTTTTGGAGATAGTTTTTTTCAATTTGCTACAATTCAGGGTGTTATTTTATTATTATTATTTATATAGCGCCAGCTTATTCTGCAGCGCTTTACAATAAAAGGGGAATTTAGCAAAAGAGACAATAACAAAGTGTAACAGGAACAATAGGTATTTGAGGACCCTGTTCAAACGAGCTTACAGTCTAGAGGAGGTGGGGTATAAAAACACAATAGGAAGGGTATTGAGAGGAATAGCAAATAGACGTGGTAGGAAAATAGCAGAACTGGAAGTGAGAGTGGAGTGTGGCCCTTTAGGAGAGAGCAAGAGGAAGGTTTCGGAGATAGAAGTTACTCTTGGAGGCCCTAAGCATTCCTGAAAAGATGGGTTTTGAGAGCCTTCTTAAAGGATTGAAGACTAGGGTCTGACAGGGGTAGGCAGGCTATTCCAAAGGAAGGGAGCTGCCCGTGTGTCTTGCAGGTGGGAATTTGCATTAAGGGTACGATCAGCAGACAGGAGAAGGTCACCAGTAGAGTGGAGAGACCGAGAGGGGACATACCTATGAATCATTGAAGAAATGTAAGAGGGGCTAGAGTTGGTAAGAGCTTTATAGGTTAGGGTTAGTATTTTGAATTGACACCTATAGGGTACCAGAATCCAGTGTAAGGATTGACAGAGGGGTGAGGTGTGAGAGGAGAGACAGGAGAGAAAGATCAGCCTTGCCAGTTATTCACTAAAATATAAATGGCTCTTAAATCAAAACTGTAAGACTTTAAATGGGGCCATTTGGATTGCAAAATTCAGACATTGTTTATACTATTGAGCAATGTCTCAATTTCACAATTCAGGCCCTGAACGGACTGTACACTGCCAAATGGATAATATCTGGGTCTGGATTTGAAAAAATTCCCAACTATTTGCTCTCCAGCAGTGCTATAGTTATAGTGGTGGTTAAAACTAGACAGCAAGCTGATCTGGGGTCTGGAGTGTCATTTTAAATACACATCAAGAGTTCCTGGAAGATATGTCATTTGTTAGTTAAATAGGCCACAAGCCTCACATCCCTCCAGCTGGCACCAAGTGATTTGGGTGCCTTATTATGGTTTCGGAGCAGAGACCCTTACATAAGTAATCCTGAAAGGCTACTGAATGCTTAGATGCTTGAGTGCTTAGAAAGTGAAGCAGAATTGTGGTTCAGAAAACAAAATCCCTAGGAACACCAAACTATCCTACATTTTAATTTATATAGATCTAAACCTAAATAAATGAATTCAAGGGGTATTATTATTGTTATTGTATTGTTCTAGTTGACCTTTTAATGATGAGAGATAAAATCAGGCCATTCCCCTAACTAGTGCAGAATTTCCACCTACCTAATAATGATTTATTAATGTATATCTGATTAAAACACTTTTTAAATCAAAATATTACATGTAAGTCTGTAGAGGGGGCTAGGGAGATATGCTCATAATTTAGAAATGAGCCATTGGATAAAGTGGCTTCAAAAGCAAGGGAGGGTTTGTTGAGGCTTGATGCTCCCTACATCATTTTGGTCTGTCAGAAATGGGAAAATGATCTTAACAGCCCTTAGTAGAGAAGAGTGATGCTCCATACTTTTAAAAACTTGTAAACTGTGTGAGGTTTTTCTCAAAGTTTTGAACAGATGATACTTTGCCCCATCTAGGCTGGTTTAAATGTACAATTCATTCTTGCCAATTTGCGTTTCTAAAGAGGCAGGCTTATGGTGCAGCATTCTGCAAAACATCTATTTTTTATGTAAAAAAAACTATAAAGAATGAATCATGCAAAATATAAAGCACCTTAATAAGGATAAAGCCTTCTAAATGCATTAAAGGAACACCGTGGCATAAGGAATACATATCTGTATTCCTAACGCTACATCCCTGTTTCACCTTGTGAATAAAAAAATAAATAAATAAAGCTAAAATAAAGTAAAAATAAACAAATTACTCACCTTTTCACTAGTAGTGAGTCTTCCTTGGCGTTGCTGCAACCTCTTCCTTGGGTTGGGTCATCCTGGAGGCATGCCTCTAAGATGATAAGCTAACCCAATGCTACTCATATTAATGGGGACTGTAGGCACATGCGCAGTGCTCATTGCAATGTGCCTATGATTCCTACACAGAGCATCATTGTATGCTCCAAGCCTTCTAATTACGTAAGTTTAATATTGGGTTTTGGGGGGCAGGACAAGGTAGCCAGCACTGAAGGCACTATAAAAACATCAATAAGATGAAGTTATTAAAGTGCCTTCAATATTCCTTTCATTATAAAAAAAAATATATAAAAATAAAAAAATGGCACAACTAACTACCTAACCATATCATTAGCATGTAGGTACATCTGTTTAAAACCAGGGTACCACTCAGGGAAATTGTTCTTGGCTTTATTGATTTATCTTATGTCTGGCAATGTTACCAAAAGACCAGATTTCCTCTCAAAGAAACACTTTAATCATCAAAACCACTACAGCTTAATGTAGTAGTTTTGGTGTCCATAGCTAGCTTTCTCTGCAGGCTTTTAATGTAAACGCTATCTTTTCAGACAAAAGGCAGTGTTTACATTGGTACCTAGTAACACCTCTAATAGCAGTCACTAAGACAGCCACTAGAGGTGCTTCCTGGGTCAGTGCTGCACAATGTGCAGAGTCTCATCGCTCTGCATTAATGATTCAATTGCATCTCTATTCATTGCGTGGATGTGCAATAGCCTACCTATAGCAAATCATTAAGATTCTTGAGATGGAGATGGAGCAAGGCAGGACCAGCGGCAGCAAGACAGGCATGGCGTGGGAAAAAAGATAATACACTCACATTTTCACTGCTCTGACATGGGGGCAAGGACCTAAATTGCCACATAAGCAATATAGTGTCAGAAATACATGTTTGTATTCCTGATACTATAGTGTTCCTTTAATTAGTATAACTGAAACTAAGTATTGTTTAAAGGTAATAAAAACGTATACCTTATACACTAGGTGTTTGTTCTTAAATGAATTGAACAGTAGCTGCATGAATCACTGTTTGTACTGGATGTTAACAGTTTTTTTTGGCATTATGTCTCGCATTGTACTTATTTTGCACAAAAACATGAATGCACACAGTGTTCTGAGCAAAGAGTATTACTGCTGTGTTTAATAATGTTTGTATTCCTGACACTAAAGTGTTTCTTTAATTAATATAAATGAAGTTAAGTATTGTTTAAAGGCAATATAGACATATTTATTTTAGGGGAATATTTTCACTATAAACACCTTATACATTTGGCAATATTTTTGTTTTTAAATTAATTGAACAATAGCTGTATGAATCACCGTTTGTACTGGGTGTTAACATTTTTTTTTGGCATTATGTCTCGCATTGTACTTATACTGCAAAAAAACATGAATGTGCACAGTGTTCTGTGCAAAAGGTATTGCTGCTGTGTTTCATTTTAATACAATGATAATGAGCCATAGGCATAAGCCATGTTACATTAAATGGACAGCAGTCTATGAACCTACCACTGGGAGGAATTATTAATAATTTCACACTAAAATAGTTGTTTGGAATGTGAATTATATTCTATTGTAATGAAAAACAAACTAGACACATTTATGCAAACATTTAATTTTTTCCACTATATGCTTTACCTGCAGTGAGAATTTCACTAAGTTGGAGCTGTGTGAGTGCTTAAAGGAACATTCTAAGTACAAAAATACTACAGCTTCATGTTTCGGAGAATGTTTACATTTGTTCAAAAACATCCCACTCTTGACTCTCAGTAGTTACGAACTAGAGGCTCTACATCCTTAAAACCTTTTTATTTTTGAAGGTCTTTATGACCTTGAACATAGCTAATGCTTTTCATATGGAAGCAATGGACTCAGTACTGGTTTGGAGAACATAATTGCCACACTTGTGTTTTAAGTTCTCAGTACTTCTCTATAAGAGGCATCTGGTGATCTCTTCAGGCATGAATTGGGCTGGTGAGAAGAATGCATTTAGACAATATATGGTTAATTTAACCAATTAAGGACCACATAGCGGTCTGGACCATCATTCAGTACAGAGCAGCCCCAGGTATCTTTCAATACCCGGGGGTCCCCTCTGTTAGTGTGCTTAGACTGACAGATGAGCTACATGCAGAATTCAAAGTGAAAGCTGCTCATAGATATTTGAATACCACGGCTGAGTGGTCCTGCTCAGCCACAATGTTTCTATCAGTGCCCTCTGCCCCTGGCATTGAAAAAGGGACTCCCAGTTATCTTTCAGTTGGGGCCACAGTTATTGGCCCCAGACTGATAGCAGAGCTATGAGCAGAACTGCTGTGGGAAAGTTAAAAATGATATTGTCTCGTCTGCATGGCCCTGGGGGGGGGGTGGGGGTGGGAGGGCCTCCCTGCTTGCCCCCTGCTGTAGGATCGGTGCCGGGCTTTGCCAATAGAATCATTGTTTTATTTTTGCTTTTTACACTTTCTCAATGTTGATTGCCTGGTGCAAAGGACAGAGCTTATGACAGTGATTGACAGGGAGCTAAGATGGAGGCGCTAAGTTGCAGGACAAAGAGGTGTAGGTTTTGCATTTGTTTTCAAACCTAAGAAATACATTTTTGTTAAATATATGGCTAATTACACATACTATTAAAAATCCTGGGAAACCAAAGTTCCTCATTCACTTTTCAAAATTCTTTAGCTTGTGCATAATCACAACGATTTTAGTCTGAATTTTATAGTTTGGTTTTCAAATCAATGTTTATTGAGCACTAACACATTGCACTACAATGTACAGTTATATGTATCTTTCATTGTAATCTTAAATATGTTTAACCAAATGATTAGTGTAGAACAGGGGAAATCACTCTTAAACAAAACTAGATATTTATATTAATTGTTGTATTTTAATTACAGGCAATCCTGGGCTCCATCTAACAGAACCAGCATCACAACCACGGAAACTAAACGGTATTTTTTGATATCATTTATTTTCTTTTTGCAAAAAGTGTATACTCTTTAGGTTTTATGATAACCCGTATATTATTACACAGGTCTGTAGAGCATTATATAATACATGTGAGAATAATTATCAATTGCAGTTTGAAGAATCTAATCAGAAACACAATATTTCAATAAAACTTCATATTTTTCTTGCAGCAGTGAGCATCATCAGACTTTGCACGTGCACAATAAATCACACATTATTGTATATGAAACAAAAATGAATTGCACTTGAAACATAATGTCCTCTAAATGATTAATTTAATACAAACTGTCTATTTCATAACTGTGACTTTTATATGTGTTTACATAAAAAAAAAAAAAAGAAACTGTCAAGGAAGTGTCATAAAATGTGTCCCAGAGTGTTGCAAGTGTGGGACAGGATGCTTCTGGTGTTGCATATGTGAGGAGGCTTGTTGTATTGTTGTATTTGGGATATTGTTTTGCTGTTGCATGTGTAAGGTGAGGCTAATTGTAGTGTTACATGCATTGAGGGGGCTGCTTGTGGTAAAGTAAGTGTGGGGGAGGCATTTTGTTGTGTATTATGTGTTGGGGAAGCTGCTTGTTTGGTTGAAAGTGTGGATTGAGACTGAACGTGCTTTTGCACGTGAGAGGTAGACATTTGAATGTAAGTGGAGGGGAGTTTATGTGGTGTGCCTGTGAGTGGAGGGCTATGTTTGTAGTGTGTGTGGATAGAGGCTGTTTGTAGTGTGTGCTTTAGTGTTCCTTGGTTGTGTTGTTTGTAATGTGTATGTGAGTGGCGGTAGGCGGTGGCTCTTTGTAGTCTGTGTTTCTGTGTGTGTGGAGCGGGGTGTTTGTGGTGCGTTTTTTTCTGAAAGATTAGAGTAGGCTGTTTATAGTGTCTTGTTTCTGTGTGTGTGGTGGGTTGTTTTTGGTGTGGGTGTGTTTGGATCATGCTGTCTCTAGTGTGTGTGTGTATGTGTATATATGCTGTATTCTCAACTGTTATAATCAATTCAAGTAGTGGATACACTATCACCTACTGAATGTGTATACATTAGTATTTCGATATACTATTTTGTAATTATACATATGTAATTTTGAACCCTTACTGATAGTAGTGAATGGCTTTACTTGAGGTGTTGAGCCTAGTTATTTTACAAAGGAAGTGAATATTTTAGCGCTAACAGTGTTGCATTTTATATTGTTTCATTTTGCACTGGTAAGAAAGTGTTATGTTATAGCTGCTATTAAGGAATGGGTTTATTTGTTTAGAATTATTTGGTGTTATTTTTAATTCACACTTAGAGAAGCCTTTGAATGGAGAATTTAACCGGCTTAGAGTGCATGCTCAAGAAAGGGAGTTAGGGAAAATAGAAGGATGGGGGCGGGATATAAAAAATATGTATTAACAAAGGGGAGGAGGGAGGCGTGGAGTTCTATACTCAGTGTGGGAGAGATCGCAAACAAGAACGTCCCCATGCAATCACAGATTGAAATTAGGCTCAACACCCGAAGCAAAGCCCGAAACAGAGTTCTAAGCTGCCAGAGTCACATGTGACAAGGGTGTAACTAGCCCCCAGTCCTAATTGCCAATAACCCTAGATGTGCAATGTTTGAAGCTGATGCACTGCACATCCAGACTCCTACCCCCATGATCAACTCAAGAAGCAGACATGGTAATAGTGGTTGGAGTAACTAACCCCTTAAGATAATTACATTCACAATTACCATGGGATGGCGATAGGGCATTATGGTTTGCTGTAATTGTCGTGGTGTTTGGAGTGGTCCTTTAATTAAAGCTGTACAGTTTGTTGACCAAGTATCTTCTCACTGTCCACAATCATGAATACTGAAGAGAGAATATTAACCATATGAGGGCTAGGTATATCCAAACATGTCAAGTAAGATGGACAAAGACATATGAACATTAAATAAGATCCATCCAATTTTCTATTCATCCATCCTCCCTCACTTATCCAATCACTCTAATATGTACACTGAGCAACCTTTATTATTACATAATGAATACTACTCAATAAGTGGATGCAAATAATTAACTATCACATATTTTATATAAGATCATCTCGAAAAACCTGCTTTTGATTACATGTAGCCTCCATATGCAGATAATGGTCTCTCCATCCACAAAAATGAGAAACTGAGAAATTAGGTAATGGTTAATTAAGTCCAGTTTGGCATTTCATTGTTAATCTTGTTCATTTCATAACATTTTATATGCTTGTTTATATGCTTGTTTACAGAAGTTCCCTGCCAACCAAGCAAGAAGGACAAAAAATGTGGGCATTTTATTACATTTATTATCTTCTATTTACTTACAAGAAATCCCTCTCTTGATTGCGTGCAATACTGCGCAAAGACATCAGATGCTTTGTTACACATGGCACCTACATCCACTGTTATATAAGCAAATTCATATATGATCACTGTGTTTAGCAAGTGTCCAGTCACAAATGCACACCCTAAAGCCTTCAGTTAGGCAATGGACTTTAAAAATCAATAACATAATACAGTTTTACAATATCTTTTTGTAGACATTGTTTAAAAGTAAAGGCTTGTATAAATGCCAATTAAATATTGTACAACCAATTCCATAAGACATCTCACATTGATAAATACAGCACAGTAAAGTAAAGGCAGAACACTTAATGACAAGAAAGTACACTTTATGTGTGTTCTCTCATGCTCTAACAACTTTGATGGACAGGTTTACTTATTGTATTAGTAATATAGTATTAGTAATATACACAGGAATCCATAGCTTTAGCAGGCAATCTGTGATTCTTCCATTATCAGTGATCTGCCATGAAACAGAGTAACTTAACAGAGTAACATTGTGTGATCAATTTAGGGTCTTATACTGTGTGGAAATCACTACACGACAGCACACTCATTTTCTGTATAAAAATTTGAGATTTTTTTAAAATTGAGTCTAATATTTGTAGAACATTGACTAGACTAGTAAGCAGAGGTGGCTCTCTAATTAGGCGATTTAGGCGGCCGTCCAAGTTCTCGTGCTGGCTGGGGCCTCGTGTCCGCCTAAATCGCCTCAGGGCAGAGTGACTTGTCAGGCTCTCGGGCAATGACTGAATGTGTGCATGTATTAGTGTGTGTGTCCATGTCTGTAATGTGAGAGTAGTATGGTATGGGCAATAAAAAGGTAAAGTTTCAAGCAACATGTATATTAAATACATACATATGCAATTTATGGGGAAATAGATATATGATAATATACATGTTAAAGATTATAGAATATGTGGGGGGAAAAAGTCTATGACAACTTAATTATTTGGTAACTGCTTTTTTAAAAACCCAACCAAAATTTTTTATTTTTGTTTCCAATAACCCCTTCACACCGGCACTTATGTATACACGACTGTCAGGCTATGCAACCATACCCCGCATTCGTGTATAAACGATTAGCATAATTGCAAATTAAATGTGTTTATTGCAAATTATCTCATAACTACAGTCAGAGAGTTCACATGGCAGAGGCCTAGGGAGCCGCGACAATGCAAGCCTCTGAAGATGATGCAATGCTGCAAGCCCGACATTCAATATATCTACAGCTCCTTATACACACACAGGGCAACCTTTACATTTATTTTTCACTAATGGTGCTAGTGGGGTTCGCCTAAGGCCTCGCAAAGTCTAGAGCCGCCCCTGCTGGTAAGCATGGCTCTGGGATTTACTCAAGGAACAATGTATACCTAATATTTTAGATGGCCTACAAAACTAGAGACATATATCTACAGATAACATGGTAGATACTTGCACAGCCTGTAGTACAAATGTATGTGTCTGACCAGCTGACTCTTTTTATTGCATCTAACTTGGTAACACTTGTATTCTTGCATTTTGAAGAACTATCTATTCATCGGATGAAAGAACCTCTGATAAACCAGTAAGGTCCAGTCTGATTGACAGTGCGAGATCAAGGTAATGATTGTGAGCATTTTTTATTTAAAATTATTATAAGATTATTATTATTATAAGATTAAATCTCAAGTTTAGCAGAGAGTGTAGTTTAAACTTGAGATTTCTGGTTAAATCAGAAGAAAGCAGCTTTACAGTTTTGAGTATGCTCTATAAAGACTGAACAGATTTTGTTAATTTTTTTTTTACATTTTTACTTTATTATTTATATAGGGTACACAAAGAGGAAGAGGGGAAGCACATAAGCCTCACAAAATAAAAAAAACACTTAAAAAACATCAAAAACACACACACAAAAAAGATACAAAGATTGGTGCATATTGTAGATAAAAATATAACCGTAATAATCATAGTTATATCTATAATACTATTGTTAATAATTCTAATGCTCCCTCATAGCGCTTTATACAGCCCTGATCTGATCACTATTCCCTGTAAACCTTCAAAGACAAAGCAGATTTAAACAATGCTCCAAATAAATAACTCATCTATTAAAAGGAAGCTTCAGTCTCTTAAAGCACTCGAGCTTGAATAGCCTTATGGGTTAACTTTATATCCTATGTGGTTTATGTCATATTACTGCCAGTTTCGAGAGGAAGACCCACTTTTATCAATCTCCTTAGTAACACCTCCCGGCAGTAAAGTACAGTCAGGAAGGTTTCCTCGATTGCTCACTTTGTACTGTACAGTAATTCAGTGTGTGAATGAGTGAGTGCTCCTCATAGGGAAACATTGGTTTCAATAAAAAATTAATTATTAGTGTATATTTTTATTTATTTCCCATTTTTATAATAATGTCCACTGTTTGATAATATAATAGACCTTGTCACGAGGTTGTAACAGAAGCACATTAAATGAATGAACAATGGCTTATGTAACTCAGTGATTTTTTACACACATACACTAGACCAGCCAGTTCACACAATCATCCATGTAAGAGACACATGACACATATTCGGCAGCACATCCCAACATATGGAATGACAACAAAGAGATAGAGATGAAAATAGAATTGGTCCAAATACATCAATCAATTAATCAGAAGCTGGGTTAATAGAATTGTCACCTAGTTTGGTATCTTCGCCTTAGTTGGAAGATTAAGACATTAAAATATTTTTCTATAAATTAGAACCAAATGTCACAAAAATGAGTAAAAGCTGAAGACTGACTGAACACGTTCTTAATTCTCCAAGAGGTCGATATATACAATATTTAGTTGAAATCAGCCTGTAGTAAATCATTTTATAATATGCCAAATACAGAGGCAGTAATAATGACAATACTATGTATGTTAGCAAGAGATGGGGTTAATATGGTTCCAGCTAGGTTTTTAATTTGCTCAGTGCACAGAGCCACATTTACATTTTGTGAGTTGCCATAGTAACGTCAGTTGGCTCTCTCAATTACAATGTAGTATATAAGCTAAAATGTTGCTGCTTCATGAAATTCATTGATAAGGGAAAGTGATGTGTAAATGGAAACTGCTTGTAACACACAAATCTTGATTTGTTTCGCTCTTTCCAATTTATTTTCTTGGTTATCGCTGTATCATGCAGGAGTTAAAATATACATTGTAACTTAGCATTTCTGTTCCATTTTAAATTTATAGGTTTGAAAAATCTGATGACAAGCCAAAGCTTCCTCCTACCTCACCTACCTCACCGCTACCCAAAACTGATCTCAGGTAAAATCTTTCTTAATACACTGTACATGAAAAAGGGAAATTGCCCGAGAAATAAATAGGGAATGGTTGTGAATTGACTAGGGCATTGAAAAGCTTAGTCCAGTAAATCCAACACTAGGGTGGGAATTCTTTCCAATTTGACTGTGTTGAACTAAAATTCTTATATCAATGCTCTGTAATTCCTAATTTACTGATAAACATTAAAGATATGTTTATGAATAGGGACTGTATTAAAACAATTTCCAACATTAGAATCTGATGGATTCCATACAATATAAAAAGGCATAGTTTGTGCGGACTGATTTTGTAAATAGAATAATGTCATAATATCAAACCTACATACGTTCCAGTGAAGAAAGCAGCACTAAAACCTTTATGGCCACATCCAGGTTTTTGATCTCCTGTTGACAATAAGGCCATAATAAAAAAACTGCAATGTTTTATTAATAAATGGTTTAGTTGGTGTCTTATCAATTTAAATGCTTTGTCTACAGTGTCACCGGACCTTGACTCTTTAGCTCCAGACATAGAACATTTTTAATCAGTTTCAGAATGATAATACATAGCTTTTCTTCTAAATAGTGATCACCATAACAACTTACTTATAAAGCTCCAGAAAGCTATTATCATATATGATGCTGAATAATCAAAATATAGGAGTGTTTAATTGGCAAACTTTTTTTGTAGATTTCAAAATACTGAAGATAAACCCAAAGTGGTGCCGAGGGTATCCCCAGCTAAAACCGATGAGAAGTAACTATATATAATTCTAATATTACAATATAGATTTAGGAACACATAGCTGGTTTTAATTAGCAAATAATAATAGTATTATAATCAATAAGATATTAGTATTAATTACAGTTTCCCTTGTGGGACACATATTTTGACAGTTGTCATCATAGTCTGCCTCCTCTTGCCACTGTCCTTAAGTCACATCTCCTCCATCATTTCTGATCACCCATTCTCCCATACCCCATCTCTCACACTAACACGGTCACCTCATGTCAATCACTCTCACTCACAGAGTGTCTAATTTCATTATCTCACCCTTCTTTTACTTACACTCTGCCTGTCAACCTTACCTACAAAAGCCAGTTGTTAAGGTTGGTCTGAGTCACAAGCAAGGCTTCCTCAACTCAATTATGAAAACCAGTCGATTGGCAAGACACAGGGACTGGCCAACATGATTTTAGGCTTTTCTTCACTTAGTAATAATTTATTAAATCAATAATGAAATAAACATGAATGCACTCCTTTTTTATTTAAGACCTACTTATCCTACAAAGCCTGCAGTATCTCAGACTGGAGAAAGGAGAACTGTGGTGGAAAGAAGACAAAGGTAGGACTGTAAAGAGATGAATGGTATGCTTCCATGCTATGTATAGGATAGGATAATACTTAGCCATCATAGCAAATATGTTGGGAACACACTGTGTTTCCACTGCAAGTCCAAGCATGTGTGCTGCATTACATCCCCTTGATGTCATGGTAGTAACAATGTTTCTCCAGTGGGAAAATCATTCAAATTAGTATGGTGTTTTTATACATGATTATAATAACTGGAGAACCTGGACATCAGACAGGTAATTGCCTAAAATGCGTTGTTCTAAAATGCATGTTTCCATTTTTCCAAAATGAGGACTTACATTGTGCTATATAAAAATATATGTGTTGAGTCTTCAGATATGTCAGATTAAAAATTGTATATACATTGAGAATCATAATTATGTTATTAAGAACATGCAAAGGAAATTAAAAACATTATTTTGAGAAATTTATAGGTGTTTTTGGCTCCATTTCTTTTATGCCAGAGTTTGATTTTTCTGAGTGCCAGAAGAAAAGGTATTGCAAAAAATACAATTTACTCACTCATCTGGCATTCTGCAACATATGTACCACTGTCACTTGGACAGAGTTATTCACTAAAGTGAGAATTCAAAGCAAAATCTGAGAGAATTTTATATTCAAGGCCAGAGTAGGTAAACTTCACTTAGAGAATTAGTCTAGTTCAACTAAAAGGGACACTATAGTCACCAGAACAACTACAGCTTATTGAATTTGTTCTGGTGAGTAGAATCATTACCTTCAGTCTTTTTGCAGTAAACATTTTGCAGTCTTTTCTGAAAGGGCTTCTAGAGGTGCTTCCTGGCGCAGTGCAGAACTGGTAGTCAGTGACTCCACAGTCTGCATGCAGACACTGAACTTTCCTCATAGAGATCCATTGGTTCAATGCATCTCTATGAGGAGATGCTGATTGGCCAGGGCTGTGTTTGAATTGTGCTGGCTCTGCCACTGGTCTGCCTCCTAGACAAGCTCATCCAGCCCAATGCTTTCCTATAAGAAAGCATTAACACTATAGGGTTTAGGAATACATGTTTGTTTTCCTGACCCTATAGTGTTCCTTTAATTTGAAATATACTTTGAATTCATATTGAATCCTTACTTTTGCGAATTACCCTACATGAGTTCACCAGTCAAAAGACAGGAATGGTAGGAACTTCTTGAATGCATTGTACAATAACTTGCTTTATCTGTTCTCATTAAGTTGATTACTTAAGTAATTAATAACAATGTCACAAAGCAATACAGGAACAATGCATGGGGAATGCTGGACATAGCAGGAGGGTTTAGCTATACTGGTACAAAATGAGAGATATGGAATTAGTTGAAATATACAGTGACACCTCTTTTACATTTTTCATAGGAGTCAAGACATTGATCATCTTATTGATGTAACAACCACTAGGACATCAAGCAGTAAAGGGTAAGAATGATTTTTACATCACTTTACTTATATCAGTAAAAAATATATATTTATATTTAATAAACATTTATATATATATATACATACAAATAGATTTATTACCGCTTTTCTTCTTTTTCACTCTATTAATTACTTTTTCTTACTTGATCTATGAACCAACTGAGGGAAAATGTGCACTGTGTACTGCAAAATATATACATAATATTATATTATGTACACTATATATATTGCAGCACACTAAGTGGCCCAATTTTGTGCCCTTTTGTAAATAAGATGTAAACAGCAGACATATTTGAGGAGTTAGGGTGGTAAAGAAGGGAAGGTCTGGGAAGAGAATGGAAAGGGAAGGTAAAAAACAATGTTTTATCTTCTGAAATATATACTTATTGTTACTTATTGTTTATTTATTTTTTAAGAGATTTGAATGACCTCATTGAAATATCAAGCACCACAAAGAATTTACGTAACAGGTAAGACCATGCACACACTATTTTTTGATCTTTTCAATCATACTTATTATTTCAAGCTTAGCTCGCAAGTGTAATTATGTCACTGTAAAGAAAAAGATGTCCAGTAATATTCTGTATTAATCCCAGAATGGAAACTGTTGGATATATCAGTAGTTATTTTGGGTACTTGGAGTTTCCACCCATGTTCTATTAGTATTTAGGTTTTCTGAATACTAGTATAGTATAGAGCAGGGATAGGCATCCTTTAGCACTCGACGTTGTGGACTACATTCCCCATAATGCTAGCACACCCATAATGCTGGCAAAGCATCAAGGGAGGTGTAGTGCAAAACATCTGGAATGCCAATTTTGCCTATGCCTGGTATAGAAAATAGAGCCATTTTGTGATTTTTTTAACGGAGATTAACTCAGTGAAACAACTTTGGACATCCTAACGCTGTGCATGAGGATGTCCAGCATGTTCAAAATCATCATTGATTCAATGCTTCCTATGGAGAAGCTGTAATGTGTGCACGACACTTGCTGTGCATGCACATTAGGTCCTCCATTGGCCTAATGCTGTGGAAGGAGGAGATTAAGCCAGTGCAAAAAGACCCTGGAATTAGGGTAAGTGTCAAGAGGGTTTTTAACTCTTTCATACTCGGGGTTTGCAACTTAAGTTTGGGACAGGAGTATATTATGCACATAAATACAGTAAATAATTTAGTCAAGGTTGTAAATAGAGATACACTTATTTAGACTATAATTTATCCATTTACTGATTTGTTTATCTTTTTAATTTTATAAGGGATGAAGAACTTAACAATTTAATTGAAGTTAAAAAGCCTCAAGAAAAGACCAGGTACCAGTATTTAATACAATATTTATATAATATGACTCACACTACGGGTTGTATACTATATTGCAAAAATATATTTGCTTACGTATTTAATGTACTGGAAAACCTATTGATACGTCTGTTGCACGTTATGGAACTGAATATATTTAGCTAATATATAAGGTTAAGACCAGATAAAGAACAAGGGTGCTTTAATCACCTACATGAGTCACTCAGACACATACAAGTGAATAATAAACAGTTGGTGAGAGCACACTACGCACAATGACACTTTACCCTTAATTTTCAAGTCTGTAATCTTATAATTGCTTGATTTATTCCTGTATATGAAATATAAAAATGCACATAGAGCAGTAACGTTTAAGTCTAGTTTGTGGCTTGGACTTAAAAGGGTTTCACTCACATGGTTTTGAGCCTCTTAACATAAGCTGGCTCAAACTACAGGCATGGATAATATCAACACGTGGCCTCCACACACCAGGCTGCTACCCCTCCGTAGCCCTTCCGTTATATTCAAGTATTCCAGGATGCAAGGGATTGAAATAACAATTTTATTGGACACAATGAAAAATTGTCCACTGTGCAAATAGCAAAAAGTCCACTGTGCAAATAGCAAAAGTCCACTGTGCAAATAGCAAAAAGTCTTTAATTTTTTAGTGTGTCCAATAAAATTGTTATTTCAATCCCTTGCATCCTGGAATACTTGAATATAACGGAAGGACTACGGAGGGGGAGCAGCCTGGTGTGTGGAGGCCACGCGTTGATATTATCCATGCCAGTAGTTTGAGCCAGCTTATGTTAAGTGGCTCAAAACCATGTGAGTGAAACCCTTTTAAGTCCAAGTCACAAACTAGACTTAAACGTCACTACTCTATGTGCGTTGTTTTCCCCCCTGTTTTTTATATTTCATAAACAGGAATAAATTAAGCAATGATAAGATTACAGACTTTTTGAAAATTAAGGGTAAAGTGTCATTGTGCGTAGTGTGCTCTCACCAACTGTTTATTGTTGAATATATTTAGCATTTACAAGTTGATAAAATATATATTTTTTATATTTAAATGAAATTGATTTAAGCTATTTTTTTTCCACAGGTAACCTTTAAATCATTATTAAAGGCATAGGTCTTGATTTAATATTTTTGCATAAGCTGTTCAAATAATTTAATATATTTGAATGAACTTTTAAAATGATTTAATATTTTGAAACATATTTTAATGTTTTCTGATATATTAACATATATATATATATATATATATATATTTTGATATTATAATATTTAGCAGTAAATCATTTAAAACATTTATAGTATGTTAGCTTTTACAGTTAACAAGTGCATCAACATGACACTTAATGCATATTATTAATGGCTTGTGCTTTAACTTTTTCCTCCAATATCTGAAGAAGTCAGAATCTGGATGATCTGATAGCTATAGCTGGTGATGGAAACAAAGGGTAAGAAACTGTAGTTTATTCTATATTTTCTGCTGACACCCATCTATATTTTCCTAACATGTCACAGTAAAAAAAAACAGTATTATTATTAGCACATTGTGTTAGACATACACACACAAACATGCACATGCATCACTAGAACTCTCTTTTTAAAAGATCTAAACAATTAGCATTTTATTATGTTGTGCTTTAATTTAAAATTATAATGGAGCTTGAAAAGGCATTAAAGGAACAGTTTGGGCACTGTAACATTACAATTAAGTTGTCATGGTGCCAGGAGGTCCCTGGTGCTGGAAGTGATGTAACTAGAAACCACTTGGCCCTGGTGTGAAAATTGCCCTGGGCTCCCATCCATGTATCTCATTCCCTCACCCCCAGTCCCCCCATCTGTCTCATTTCCCCCAATCCTTCCATGTGTCTCTTTTCCCCCCAAACCTAATGTGCATGTACATCTATGTGTCTCATTTCCTACCCCCCAAAACCACTCCATGTGTCTCATTCCCTCGCACCAAGCTGCTACTTGTGTCTCATTCCCCCGCCCCCAGCCCTCCATGTGTCTCATTTCCTCCCTCCCAAAGCCCCATCTACGTGTCCCATTTCCTACCCCACAAAGCCCCTCCATGTGTCTCATTTCCTCCCCCTCAATGCCCCTCCATGTATCTCATTTCCTCCACCTCAAAGCTCTCCAAATGTATCATTTCCACCCCAAAGCCTCTCCATGTTTCTCATTTCCTCCCCCCAATGCCCTATATGTGTCTCGTTTCCTCACACCAGCCCCTCCATGTTTTTCATTCCTTCCTCCTCCAGCCCCTCCATGTGTATCATTCACACCTCCCCTCAGCTCCCTACATGTGTCCCATTCCCTTCTCTACCCCGAGCCCCTCCATGTGTCCCATTCCCTGCCCCCTACCCCTTCCATGTGTCCCATTTCACCCACTCAGCTCCTACATGTGTCCCATTCCCTCTTCCCCCAGCCTCTCCATGTGTCCCGTTCCCTGCCCCTCCCCAGCCCCTCCATGTGCCCACTTCCTGTCAGCTACAGGAGGACAGCAACACAGCACAGAGCTCCAATCCTGCCGGTAATTCGGCAACTGCAGACCAGTGCGGCTGTGCACCAGCCCTAAAGATATGCCGGTGCCCAGAGGTTGCAGGTGTCGCAGCTGCGGCAGGGCCTCCTGTACTGATGGGCCCAATTACAGTGTGGACCCCTGCAAATGTGGTACTTACACTATTGGGTGCTGGCTTACCTTTAGGTAAAATCTGTACTTCAGTTCCATTTTTCTCCTCTGTCCTTACACTTTTTTAAATTCTTGTTCATGCAGTTGATGCTTTCAGCCAATCATTAGCACCACATTCATAAAAATGGCTTGAAAAGAGTACGTACCAAGCAGTGATAATTTCATCAACAAACAAATACCATCATAGTTTTCATCAAAGCCATCATTTTATTTAGTTATAGTATTGTTTTCAGTGACGACAACTATACTATAACTAAATAAAAGGATTATGACAAAAACTATAGCGAAATAAATGACAATTTAGTTATAAGACTGACTGACTAAAACTAAATTAAAATGTGCTCTCAAAATTAACAATGATTCTTTCAAACAGAATAACAACTCTAGCAACTCTAGAATATTAACAAAAATAAAAAAACTGTATGCCGTTGAACATATTACTTGAACCCAAATAGAGAAAATTAAACAGTTCTCTGTTAAAGAGACATTCGTCACTTGTTAGGCAATGTCTCATTTTGAATGAGATAAATACAGATTTTCATTGTATTAATATCTTCAGAGATGCACTTTTGCTTGAAAGAATGAAGGATGCCATGTGCAACTTGCTATAATCAATGCAAATCTAATTACTGATCTGTGCAAAAGCAAGGCCATATTTTGTTTCTTTATGAGACTTAGATTTATTTCATTTTAAGATAAATAAAAAATTATTTATCGTAATAATAATATATTATAGATGAATAATATATCATTTATCTTATCTTGTCAAAAAATTTATTGTATGTTCAAAACATAATACTATATAAAATAAAATGTTAATAGATGTTTACTCCTCCAGGAATATACAATGAGCTCGGAAATTCTAGAGAAATGCTTAAAGGGACATTATAGTCACCAGAACCACTACGGCTTAATGCAGTGGTTCTGGTGATTATAACCTGTGACTGTAGGGTTTTCAGTGTAAATGCTGCCTTTTGAGAGAAGGCAATGTTTACATTGCTGCCCAGTAACACCTCTAGTGGGTCACTCACACGGCCACTACAGGTGCTTTCTATCTCAGTGCTGCACTACCGCGGTGCCCGTTGGCTAAGTAATGTGACGCGGTATAACCGCCGGGGCCGCACGTTAAAGGGGCCCATCGGGTGGCCCATGCTGTTAGGGCAATACACAGATCTCTTTTAAAAATGAATATTACTGAATTCCTTTATCTGGGTGTAGTGTGATGCAGTGTACCCCTAGAGGACTGGAAGACTAGCAGCACTGTTCAAAATACAACCCAATTATGGTGTGTATATATATGTTTAGAGAGAGAGATATTTAGATATTAATGTATTAGACAGAAAACTTGCCTTTCTTATATAATCCACCTCTCTGATCTACAACAATCTAAGCTGTGCTTGTCCTATATTACTGCTTCAAGGCAGCCCCTCATCTAAACTTTCCCTTATGTTGCTGCTTCGAGGCAGCCCCTCTTCTGATCTTTCCCTTATACAAATATATGACAGTCTTCTAGCGTATGGTAAACCAGATAGTGCTTCTAACACCACATCTACCCGGTGAATGGAGGTAGAGATTGTAAAAGGTAAGTACCTCACATTCTAATGCTACCCAGAATAACAAAATAAAAACAAGCGCTCAAATATTTTGCCATATATTATTTCTCTCAGAAATATGAACTGATGATAAATTAAACAGTGATCTAGGGTGACACATAATTTGTCTGTGCAGAGCTTGGGTTTGTTTTAAAAATCAATACATTAGAAAAATCAATTGCAAAGCCTGTGTCTTTCTTCAGTTGTCTTAGAACACAGCAGCTAATTCTAAATTTAGAGTTTGCATAATGTGTGCTATTGAAACGAACAATTAGCACATTTACTGCAGTGTAGAGTATAGTAGAGAACTGGGATGTTAGAGTGCAACCCACTTAGTTAAGACATTTGACTTAACAACACAATTAAAGAATGGCAATTAATATAACAATGAAGAAACATCTGTATTAAACATCAATATGAATTGTAGAAATAAAAAAAAAAATCAAGCGGTGCTAATTAAGAAACAAGGTGTGCAAAACTAGTTATTAAATCCAAACTTAACGACGTAGAATATTGTATTTGAGATTCTTTACTTAAAAAGGGAAGAATTACAAATACAAATATTTGAGCAACTTGCAAAAGTATTCACATACCTGCAACAATTCTCTAATTTCACTCAGTACACAAGATATATAGCATATAGAGTGATGGAAACTTATTTTGTATGATTTAACACACTGAAACTAAAATCAATTATTTAAACACAAATAAAAAACAAACAAACAAAATCACTCTGGGAGAAGTAAGGTGAGTAAATCTAACTAGCTAGTATAACAAGTTAGCATTAGGAGTACATGTTTGGATTTGTAACACTAGAGTGTACCTTTAATATTTAGTAGAGCTGCCTTGTGATATAACAGCTTTAAGTCTTTTGGGTTAATAAGTTTAGTTTTTCATACAGTCGTCAGAACTGAGCAGATTTGTATCCAGATGGTTCGAGATGATTAGTACCACACCACAATTTTAAAATAGAGCCACACATTTTCAAAAGGACCTGGGTCAAGTTACTGTTGACTTTCACATTTTTACTAGTAATTTACTGAAATGTCACTTTGACCTTGTATTTGGGATAAACAACCTCCTGAAATGTAAATATTCTCTGAAACGTAGTGTTCTAATCAACAGAAAATGGTTGTCTTACCTTTTTTTTTTATCTCCTATAATTTCTTTAGGTCAGTTGGGCCTACTAACAATACTACAAATATTGGTAGCCGAAGTTCCACTACGACCACCAAAATTACTGAAAATACCTCTGATGTATCTGGTAACCGCTCAACTACTAACAATACTGCAAATATTGGTAGCCGAAGTTCCACTACGACCACCAAAATTACTGAAAATATCTCTGATGTATCTGGTAACCGCTCAACTACTAACAATACTGCAAATATTGGTAGCCGAAGTTCCACTGCGACCACCAAAATTACTGAAAATGATGTATCTGGTAACCGTTCAACTACGTCCTACAAAAGTACTGGTGATCCCCGTGATGCCACAAACCTTCGTTCAAACAAAACTACCACCACCACCACCACTACCACAACATATAACATAAGTGAAGATAAACCTGATGGGACAAGCCGTCGTACATCCTCATCCTCTAAGGTCAATGATGATCCATCTCTTACTTCAAGCCGTCAAACAACTACAACTTACAAATCTAATAATGACACAACCAATGCACCAAACCAACGCTCAAATGTGACCATTACTCAGGAATCAAGGTAAAATTGAAAATATCTATACTTACTAAAGTGTTGTGATAACTTTAAAGCAAAGCAGATGGGAGCCAGGATTTTCTTTCTTCTCATCCCTAACCACATATGTAGGAGATTAATATAATTTTTTTAAGTGAATGTTTAGAACAAATATAGTAAATAATATTGGCTCCAGGAATCCATGGAACACATTTTAATAATTGATTGACCCATTTTGTTTTCGTTAAAATTGCAGTCTGTTTAAATGGCCACAGTTCTCCCTCATAAAGCAGTGTCTGTTTGGAGACCATCTCAGGCATCAAGAAATAAGGACAACACCCAGCATCTCTGTTGTTTTAAATGTGCCATGAGATGCTCCTTTGCTTTGCACCTAGTAGGGTCACTATTATAACTTGGAGAAAAAAAATAAAAGATACTTAAATCTATGGAGATTTCACTAGGCAAATCACTCACAAAGCTGTCTGAGTCACTTGCCCCAAATACATGTCCTAACATTGCCTCACACATAAAACCCCAACATATATATAGATCATGAAGGGGATATCTTCTCCCTATAACCTGTAAATAAATAATTTCAGCACTTACCACATTCCATTGGTGTCAACAGATGCTGACATCAAAGTAACCCTCTGCAACTGTATTTACAGCTTGAGAGTTAGGGAAGAGGAGGGAATATGAGTGACGGAAGAGGAAGAAGATGACTCTAGCTCCCTCATGCTTCTTATTGTTAATGTTTTAGTGATGAATACAAACTGTTTTTGTTTTAATATATTTCAGCCATTCGCCTGACATAACAAGCTTCTATTATAAGCCCAAACTGTCATACGATAATGAAAGGTAATTATCACTGGATTAGAAAATAGAGTTATTTACTTGTTTGGGTACAATACCATACTTATGTTTACTATTGAATTTTTTTAAAATAACACAATATCAAATACATACAAAACAATAGCTGACTTTAAACATTCCATATTTAAATTCAAAATATGTCTTTAAGTATATCAGTTTTAGAGATGGAGGTGGTTTGTACTAGTGTTAATTAACAAAACCAAAAAAATATGGAAGCAAACATATTAAACATTTAAAGCCATGTGTGGATCGTTTTTATCATTATAGTTATCAAGAAAATTGTGAAATATAAATTTTATTTTCTTATATTTAAACACACTTTGTTTTCTTTAAAAAATGCCACAATGTCAATGTGTAGGACCTGCATATTACTACCACATGCCAATTGTGTTTTAGCAAAGCAAACTATTAACTGGCTTGGCTCATCATAATCCATCATAAAAGCATAGTTTCTGTTTTACATTTACCAGATGACTTATTCTAAATGTTGTTTAATTTTGCATTATTACTATTATTTCAGTGCCTTCAGAAACAGCCCAGTATATGATAATCTTAATGCATATGAAGATACTGTCAAGACAAGTTCCATTAAAACAGTTTATTCTACTTCAGATCGGTAAGCAATACATAAAATGTTGGTTTATTATAATGTTAATGAATAAACGTGCTGACCCCAGTGACATGAGTTACAATAACTGTGAACAAGGCAGCTATGAGCTGTGGGTTTGCAAAGCTATAGGTTTGTCTGTGTCGGGTCTCCTCATGCAGCAGCTAATAGCGGCAGAAATCGTTCTGTTTAGCAGTGGTTTCCAATCAGAGTGGCGTGGTGTACCTCAAAATATGTCACAAATACATTTCAGGGCTGTAATAGGCCGAACGCAGATATTAACATGTGTTTTGTAATGTGTCAGAATGAACATTTTGGATTTTTATCTATTTAATTTAAAAAAGTACATTTGACTAGATATTTATATATCCCTCTAGTACACCCTAAAAGTGTATGTCATTTATAAGATGCCAATGAAGGTAAAAGGAAAAATAAGTAGATGTGTCTGGTGTATAGAGAGTAGACATCTGGTGTCTTGTGTATGTGAGAGCAGACATCAACATTTGAGCTTTCATTGGGCAGTTGACCTATGTTTACATACTCTTTTTGATATCAGGCCTAGCTGCAGCAGTAGAATGAGTCTTTAAAAAAAATAAAAAATAAAAAAAAAAGAGAGAAAGGAATCCAAAATGCTAAAATGGGAGGACTATAAAAATGGAATAACATAATATGTGAGTAAAGAGAAAGGGGATTTAAATTGACTAGGTAGAGAAAGGTTCAAGGAGGAAGGTAGGCAAAATCAAAGGATACTGGTGGTAGGGCAAGTCAATAAAGAAGGCAAATGAGGATCATACTTGGAGAGATGATATATCTATGGACGCAACAAAGATATAAAAAACAAGCAGAAGATTAAATTAAAGGGGGAATAGAGGAAATAGAGGGAGGAAATGTGAAATTGATAGGTTGTGAACATGAATGAGTTTAGTATTTGGACATTTTTACTATATTTCAAATATTCTTTAGTGGGCCTATTAAAATGACAGACATTTCTATATTATTATCCACAAGAACAAGGCCAGAGATTAACAAATGATATGACGTGGCAAAGTAAGCCGTCCAAAGGAAATATACAAACGTGTATACATGCCTTGTTACCACAAAGATATGAATACATAAATTAATAACACTACAGGAGTAACACAACTAGAGATAATAGTTATGTTACGAACGCTGGTATAGTAGATACCCTGTTCGCCTATTCCTCCCAAACTGCTGAGCCTGAATGATTATAGCTGCAGTTCGGGTGTAGATTTGAATAGTTCCAGACAAATGCAGCATCCAAGTAGTTTTCTCCCCAGCAAGTAGACAGTTACCCAAACATGAGCCTAGACTTCATGAAGGGTACAACAGGTAATTAAGTTTAATGGTGCCTCACTGGCTTTTATGCAAGTCCGCATGCAAGGGGCATTCCCACAGGACCTTGTGAGGGACAGGGACACAAAGGTTACAGCCAATAATATTACAGTGACAAAGTTTGACACTCCCAATACAAACAGATAATTCCCTCCTCTTTGCCTGTGAGATAATTGAGTCAGCTAGATTAATAACTCAATTATTTTTAGGCAGTAAAAACATATTTTCCCCAAAACTTAGAAAGTACCCTAAAACACATAGCAACCCCATAAATGTCATATCCCCCGATAGCCCTGATCTGGGTGACCAACATATCCAAAAATCACCCAGATCAGTTCAGGGGTTTTTGAATTTTATGGAAGTCCCATTTGTACCGACCGCACACGAGGCTCCTGCCCAGAAACAATTCCATGAGTTTAGGCTGTGCGGTCGGTCTATTTCGAAAAGTCATAAAACTGAATAAATGCATGAACGGAACCCCTTGGCTCATAGTAGCGATTGTTCCCCTTGTTCGTGGGAACCAAACTACTGAATAGCGATCTTCTGGCTGTTCGGGAAAAGGAAGCAGGCGTTCGTATACTTTGACCGGTGTTCGGGAAGTCTAGTGTCCAATTTTAGTTCCAGACACTCGACGACCAAGTCCCACTGCCTCATCTTGTGTGAACAAGATGGCCACCGTTTTCTCTTGCATGTGGTGTTTGGTTATACGAACGGCGGCCCCACAGGGAGAGCGCTTCATCAACGGTTTCTTTTGAAGATAATGAGCGATGGGGGTGGTCGGTATTTGGTAGTTACAGCTACCGAACCAATAAAACATAAAAAGTCCTGAATGGCAATAAAAAGTCCTGAATAGCATGCTATTTTCTTCACAAGTTACTACAAGCATCATAACCACTACAGCCTGCTGTACCCTGGCTCAGTTTCTCAATAATGGGGCAAACCGTTACCTGGGCCCCCACAAGGCAAAGACTGTCCTCTTGTGGCCAGTGATGACATCCGGCTTCTACGGAGTTGCAGAAGCTGGAAGTCAGTCCTGCTAGCCATGCATTAGTCAATCCTGAAAGCTAACTGCTTTGAGCCAATTTATATATTTGTGTGCAAAGTAATATGCAGAGAATTTACATTAGCCAATCAAAAACTTTACAACTTTACACTGCACATACAGACTCCAAGCACCATAACCACTTTCAAACATTTAAGTGGTCATGGTGCTTATAGCAATCCTTTAATAGCATATCGTAATTTCATTGTTAGCCCATAAATCTTCAAAGTCTCTTGGCCTGCATACATCGTATGATGTAAGGATAATAACACAATTCCAAAATGAGTGACTATCTGTCCTGAAATATTTTTCAAAATAATATGAATGATAACTGCATGCATGCTTTTTTTGTTTGTAACTCTGCATTGTTATTTGATATCATATTATGCCATCAGCACCTGCCATCAAGCTTTCAAACCTATAACTAATGCAACAAGATATGATCGCAAATAAATGAAGATAAATAAAAAAAGTGTGCCACTCATTTTGCTAAGTGTTTTTTTATAACGGTCATTGTTTTGATCCTATTGTTAGGTCTGTCATTGAAAAAGACATGTGTACTTACTGTCGTAAACCACTTGGCATTGATGCTAAAATGATCCTGAAGGACCTGAACATTTCTTGTCATGCAACTTGCTTTAAGGTAGGTACAAACTGTACAAATATATTACAAATTGGTAATTGTGTGTGCGCGTTTTTGTGTAATTGTTAGAGATCTGATCCTCTAGTTCTAAATTTCCAGTCACCACCTGATCATCTAATCATGATGATCATTTTCTGTAGTGCAATGGCACAATTATTATGTGCACTCCGTCACTCCAGAAATGTATATTATAAGCTAGTATTGATCTTCAACTCTTATTCCAGCCTATTTGCCCAAAGTGTAGTTGAAACAACCAAATTACTTTGGTAAGATAGGATAAGGGGCTGAAATACTTTCTATACACTTATGATTAATGTTTTTTTTCTTCATTTTAGTGTGAAGTGTGTTCTGGTGATTTGGGAGGCCTGAAAGCTGGAGATAGTATGTGGATCTATAAGCAAAGCATACACTGTGAACCTTGCTACTTCAAAGCAAAAGGTAAGGGTAAAACAATACAATTTGTATGCTCCAGCCTTAATTTAAAAAAATCATGTTATGGTTTGACATGGCAGCTCTGGGATGTAGAAGTCTGTATGCTCATCCCTTTGTAACCCATCATCTGGTGCAAGAGTGAGATGTAACCTTCTCTCTATATATCTGCCCCTTTTGTAGTTCTATAAAGACCATTACATTTAATTTATAAATGATTTAATTGATTATATCATTCTCACTAGTGAACTTACTGCAACCTCCAACTTGCCCTTCCCCCAATTTCTTATGTTAATCAAGTGAGATTCATTCTGATATAAATGTTCTCTCCTGTATTTATATAATTAACATGTTCTTTGTTGATTGTGTAATTACTATTCGGTAGCTCACTGGATAAGGGTGTTATATACAGTATGTTAAATACATTCATAAAAAAGTAGTCATGGAATTTATCTAGTAATTAGTCAGTTCAAGGTACACCTGGAATTCCAGCTGGTATCACTTATGTGTCTAACCCTTTGCCCAAGAAATAATGGAAACTCACCATCATCCACTCAAGCTGCTGTCAATTATTAGTCAACACTGGTTCAGTCAGATATCGAGCAAAAAAATATGGGGAAATATTAGATGTTTATTACCGAAGATCATTAAGGCTGTCAAAGGTTTTTCAATTTGAATAAACTGAGATATTTATATTTGTAGTATTCTTAAGGCTACTTTGGGACATAATCACAATGCATTAATTCATACTATATATTTTTTTTTAACTTTAAAGGTATAAAATAGTGTCATGAATATAAACGTGTATTACTGACAGCATAGGCTTAAAATATTAGTTTTTTTCTCCAGCCCCCCTAACACTCCATTCAGGGGAGGGCTGGCAACCTTAGGCCTGGGGGGCAATTGCCTCCCTGCCCCCCATCCCTTCCCACCCCTGCCTGTGGCCAGGGACAGGGGAGGTCATAGTCTCTGGTGGTCTGGTGGCATGCTGTGGGCCCCCGGCTAACTGTACACCGCAGGGGGGGCCAGCACAGTCCATCCTCACTTCCCAGCTGCTCTACTCTAAGTCTCGCGAGCTGCCCAGAGCGTTGCCATGGTAACCAGTGGCAACACTCTGACGACCGCGGCGCTCGCAAGACTTAATCTCGCAGTCTACACAGACTTAGTCTCGCGAGCGCTGGGGTCGTCAAACCTGCGGTGTACAGGTAGCCGGGGGGGCCCAAATATGCACATATATATAGGGATAATGGTTGTCATGCCCTGATGGCAGCTCTGGAGACGGCATCCGTTTTTTACATTATTTAGGGCAGCCTGCTGGTCAATTGCCTCCCTGGCCCCTGTCCCAGCCTACCCCTGCCTCCATTAAATATGGTTATTTAATTACCTTTTTTCCAAAGCCTCATGGGTCTCCTCGCAGCTGGCCCCTCTTCCGCTCTGCCTCCTTGGCTGAGATCATTTAAGATGATGATCTCAGCCAATTCAATGCTTTGCCTTAGGAAAGCATTGGGAGTCTATTGCGCACGCACCGCTAAACGCTGCACTGATCAGCATCTCCTCATACAGATGAACTGAATCAATGCATCTTTATGAGGAATATTGAGCGCCTACATGTAGAGCATGTAGATGCTGAATGTCAGTGCTGCACAATGTAATTGTTCTGGTGTCTACTGTGCAGCACTGACCCAGGAAGCACCTCTAGTGGCAGTCTGAGCAGTGACCACTAGAGGTGTTCCTAGGCAGTAATGTAAACTCTGTAAACACTACCTTTCTCTGAGAAGGCAGTATTTACAATAAAAAGCCTGCAGGATCAGGCAGTAGACACCAGAACAATTACATTAAGCTGTAGTTGTTCTGGTGACTATAGTGTCCTTTTATTAATGTACAGCTGCGCCATCTTCATATAACCCATAGATACTAGCTCTTAAGACTGTAACATTGGCTGCAAGTATACATCATGTATTTCTATAAAATGAGATGCTACATGTAAATGTTACAGCTACTAGCATTATTCTATCTTTACCTATTCATCATGGTTTGCATATACTAACAGAAGAGAAAAATACATATTTACTTTAAGGCACATTCCAAGCATGAGTGCCCTGACACCCAACACAATATAAGTAGTCACACTGCTAAGAAGTCCGCTGGTTACTGCAGTTCAGGATTTAGCTCATTGGTTTAGAGTGATCAGCTGACAATCTCAGCCAATGAGCTGAACCTGCTAAGGGGATGGCAGGAAAATGCCAAACCATAAAACGGTTCGAGTACTTGCATGTGGCACTCCTTGCACCATAACCACTACAGTGTGCTATGTAAGATAAAATAGATAAATAGATCAGTTCTTTTACAGGACCGCCATACTGATATCTACTTTTTCAAAAGCATACTAATTGTAACTTATTTTATTTTATTTCAGAGAGATGGATCATATAGATGTTGCAAAATGAACAACTATGGGAAGTATTCAGACATGGAGTATGTTATGGAGAAGTTCATAAAAAGAATTTAGAATTTGAGTTGTCTTTGTTCTTTTAATAAAGTGTGTGTAAAACTGCTTATTAAAAACTGTTAGGTATTAAGAATTAACGGTGTTACTTCTATATAAATTTTTCTTTAAATAAACATGATATTGTTTATTCTAACATTTAAAAAAATAATTTTATTCTTGGTTGAAGAGACAAATAATTATTCAGTTTTCAAAGATCCTTAATTATAGGCCTTTCATGAAACATTACCCCATGTTGCGTAATAATAATTGTGGAGTAGGCATATTGTTTTTTAATACAGGGTTCTTCATGAATATCCAATATAATTTTTTTATAACCCAGCCAAAAAAAAAAAAATTAAAATAAAAGAGATAAAGCAAAAACGGCTATTTTGATAAAAAAAAAAATTATTTTTCTATAAAGTAACTACAAAATATATCTTTAGAAATTCTCTTGTAAAGTATAATAGAGCAAAACGCCTATACACTATAATTTTACAACACTAAGCACTTCTGGTAGAGGAAACTATTAAGTTGCTATAGGATGTTTTCTCTCATTAGATATTGTTTAAATAAGAGTGCTTCTGGTTATTTGTGATTTGCATTTTGATGTATATTTGTTAATGTAAAGGCTATATTGCTACTAAACGTATTTTATGGTTTTTCTTTAGTGTAATTATTACCAATTTCTTCCACATAATTAAACCAAAAGAAAAAGGTATACCTTTTTTGCACCTAGAAATCAATGATGCCAGCTTTGGACATTTTGAAATATTTACAAAATCTCATATTGAACATTTTTTCTGTTTTGATTTTTGCTATTTGCTCAATAAAATGGACTTGCCACTTATACTACTTTTGGCATTACATGTATTTATTTAAACGATATATATATAGGATGTTTTATAAGATACTCAATGTATGTAATAAATTGATACATTTACAAAACATATTGAATTTCTATTATGATTTTTGCTTCTTACTCCAAAAAAATTATTTGACACTTATATTTATCTTAAAAGGACACCAAGTACTGTAACTGCTTCATCTCATTGAAGCGGTTATAGTGTCTGGAATCCCCAAATGCCATCCTTCTACTCATGAGTCCATCTTCACTGTGCTGCACAGTCTAAGGAGGAAGCAGTAGGCTAGGTACAGCCATGGACGGCTATGGATGGCTAAGAATATTAGCTGACAGATTTCATTATATGCATCTCAGACACATAAAAATCGGAACAAAGTCTATAAAATAGCATATCTTAAGGTGAAAAATGGCCGAGACACAGCCTGACTTCTCTAAAAAATATATTAAGCAGAAAAGGACTCAACATCAGTGTACCCACATAGTGAAATACAAAAAAATGCAGATATATAACAATAAATAATACATACACACTATACATAACTAACTATTCTACCCAGCCATCATAGATGGTAGGGTATACAGAGGATCTTTCTTTTTGCTCAATAATAATAAAGAAGCATGTAAGTTGACCGAAGCTCCAAAGAAGTCAAAAGAAACAAACTCAAAATTAAAATATTCACCATCCAGTGGGTATTTGCTGGTGCACCTAAAGCAACCAGTAAAACTGTGTCCAGAAGGTACATCCAATGGACTTTCTTCTGTAAGTGGATCCTCTCGCTATAACCACTGTGGGTTAACGGCGGTACCCTCTCTAAGACCTTGTACAATGTACTGTGAGACATTGTGCCTTATCTCCCTGAATTGCCAGGCAACTGGTGCTTCAGAATTAACATTACAAATTGTAGTTTTGTGCTGTAAAAGACGGCATTTCAAGACATGTATGATTTTACCAACCTGGACCAAGCCACACGGATACTTCAGGAGATGTAACGAAGTCTGTCTCACAGGTTAAGAATACTCTCAGTCTAATCAGATGACCAGTCCTATGATACAAATTTTCCCATTGATGACTCCACTACAATGAGTACAATTCAGGCAAGGTAAGTTCCATCAACAGGTTTATACGATAAAAAGTCTTGTTTAATGTTAAGTGTTAGTGTTGGGGGATAGAAAAAAAGTATTGTTTAATGTTAAGTGTTAGTATTGGGGGATAGGGGCTGTAGTTTAATTATAGCATAACAGAGGCTGTGGTGGGGAATAGTAACCGTAGTGGGGGGGATAGAGACTCACCTTGAGCCATCCCTTTGATGACTCCACTACAATAAGCACAGTTCAGGCAAGGTTAAGTGCCATCAACAGGTTTAAACCAAAAAAGTTTTGTTTAATGTTAAGTTTTCCACCTTAACTACCATATTGCGTATTTGCAAATAGAGGAGGTTCTTTAAATAAATGTCCTATTTGTATGTGTTGGAAGGAGACAGGGGCTATAATGTTAGTTGAGGGAAGTAAGGGTCTGTAGTGTTGGAATATAGGGGCTCGAGTCGCTGTAGTGTAAGTATAGCATAGTAGAATGGGAGATAAAGGCTGTGGTGGGGGATACTGATTGTAGTGTGGGATAGTAACTGTAGTGGGGGGATAGAGGCTCACCTTGGGCCAGGGAGGGTGAGTCCTGATTCCTGGTGGTTCAATGCAGACAACCCCTTCCTGCTGAGGGAATGTATCAGAGCATTGTTGTGGTAATCCGTGGCAATGTTCTGATACAATAGAAGAATAGAGGGCCTTTGTATTGGAGTAATGGCCCTCACGGCGACCTCCCCTGTCGTCTTCTGTGGCTTCACTGGAGGAAAATAGGCATGCCAGTAAGGGAGATCTTCCCACTGGCTTTGCCAACCCTCTCCTGCATACCACCATGAGGCTATGCCCTTGGTGGTCTAATAAAATGAAAGAGGTCCAGGCACTCCTTGGTTCAAGACAGGCACTTTATTGGAACCACAACAGCAACGTTTTGACCCAAAGGTCTTTGTCAAGCTAACACATACACCAATCATTACAAAATATATAGCAAAGTCTAAACAATCACAAATATACAGCACACATGTGAATGGGTATCTTCAAACATATAATCAGCAGCTGGAAATCATCTAGTAATTATTAACAATAACTGATTAATAGTAGCACTCAGCAAGTATCAGTATAGCATAATTTACTAACCATGTAAATAAACCGCCAACCAGATTCATCTGTAGCCGTCATATTGGAACGCAACTTGCGTTTCACCATATAATTCCGGGTACAAACACATAATTTCCGGGAGTGTTTGCACATGCGCACAAGCAGAGCGTAAAGTGCATGTTAAGAGAAGTTCAGTCGCATGTCCGAAAATTGCTCGTACATGCGCACAAGCAAAGAACGGAGTGCACACCAAATCAGGTTCGGGCGCATGTCCGGGATATCTCGTCAGAGGACTCAATATGTGTGGCCTGCGAGGTACAGCTGGGCATGTGCGCGGTGGTGGTCTAATGGCAAACCTGGCCATGTGCAAGGTTTTACAGTAGGTCCTGTCAATCAATGCATGTAGAGCTAAAAATGGCAAAATAAAGCATAATAAAGCAACATATAAACAACAACTCAAGAACTCAATACTCACAGTATAATGAAATCTAACACTTGGATAGAAAGCAGTTCAATGCATTTATTCAGTTTATTTCCTTTACCAGGTTTCATTGCATCCAGGGTATGTATCCAAAATGCCACGTGGAGTAGGAACTCCATATTATGGTCTCCACCACAGGTATCCTTTAGGATAAAGTGAACAGTGACTTTGAGGAGCATTGAGCAAATAGATGACTTTTGGGGAGTATATCCCACATCCGTCGCTGAAGATACACTATTAGAAAAACCATTGGATCCACTATATATCCATCAAATGCTCCAACACCATTAACCTCAGATGCTAAAATCATAGAGCAGTGCAGGGCCACTAACAGAATTCTTTGGGCTCCTTACACACCTAAAGGCTGGGTGCACACACTCAGGCTACCAGTCAAAGATACACACTCCGCAAGTTATTCCAAAACACACTCCCAGACACACATATATATGCATTCCAGACACGAGTAAACACAGATTCACAACTAAACACAAAAATTCACATGAGTAAAAACTAAGATACAGGACCCATCCTGAGTCCGCCCACAACTCAGTAGTGTAGTGGATGCAGTGTCTGTGTGCACTGCATGTGGTGTGTGTGTAGTGGATGTAGAGTGCATGTGTATAGTGTATACGGTGTGTTTAATGGATGCAATATGTAAGTGGAAGCAGTATGTTTGTAAAGGATGCAGTTTGTGGATGCAGTGTTTGTGTGTATTAGATGCAGTGTGTGTATAGTAAATAAAGAGTGTCTGTGTAGTGAATGCAGTGTGTGTAGTAAATGCAGAGTGTGTGATTGTGCGGTGGATGTTGTATGTATAATGAATGTAGAGAGTGTTTGTGTAGTGTATGTAGTTTGTGCACATCTTGTGTAAAATAGGGGCTGCATTTTAATACATGTTATTTGACTGCCCCCTCCCTGCTTCTTAAGTGTCCAGGAAGGGTGCATTCCCGGTTGGTCCAGTGGCATGATAAAGGCCCCTGGCTACCTGTATACTGCAAGTGCACAAACTAATTGCTATATAATTGCTATATATAGTATCTCAGAAAAGTGAGTACACCCCTCACATTTTTGTAAATATTTTATTATATCTGTTCATGTGACAACACTGAATATATGACACTCTGCTACAATGTAAAGTAGTAAGTGTACAGCCTGTATAACAGTGTAAATTTGCTGTCCCCTCAAAATAACTCAACACACAGCCATTAATGTCAGCTCAGGCCCCTTACAGGTATAGGAGTTGTACCACCCTGATGGCAGCCCTGGCAGGGGCGTATCACCTAAAGTTATATTCTTTCTGACCCCTCCTGAGGATCATTAGGAGGGGTCAGAAAGGCAAGTCATACAGGACAAAGAGGATGACCTCCAACAAAGCGAATATGACATATGTTTACAAATGATTACACAAAAAGTTAAAGGACGACTATAGTGCCAGGAAAACAAACTCGTTTTCCTGGCACTATGTTATTAATAGGTCCCCCCCACCCTCATGGCCCCCCTCCCGCCAGGCTGAAGGTGTAGGAAGGGGTTAAACACTCACCTTTCTCCAGCGCTGGGCTCCCTCGGCGCTGGGGACTCTCCTCCTCCTTTGGACGTCATCGGCTGAATGCGCATTGCGCGGAAAGAGCAGCGCGCGCATTCAGCCAGTCCATAGGAAAGCATTCTCAATGCTTTCCTATGGATGCTGGCTTCTTCTCACTGTGAAAATCACAGTGAGAAGCGCGGAAGCGCCTCTAGCGGCTGTCAATGAGACAGCCACTAGAGGCTATATTAACCCATATGTAAACCTAGCAGTTTCTCTGAAACTGCTATGTTTACAGCAGGCAGGGTTAACCCTAGATGGACCTGGCTCCCAGACCACTTCATTGAGCTGAAGTGGTCTGGGTGCCTATAGTGGTCCTTTAACTGCATCTGAACTGACTATACTCAAATGATTTATTATTTATTCCTACCGCTTTCCCTGATCCATTCAAATGGAAAGTTGAACATTTTAAAATCTGTAGGAATCTAAGGCTCAAATAATGTTCTCTCTCATAACCCTATTGATCACACCAAGAATCCTTCAAATGTAAAACTAATTCTTGCAATAACTTGGCCAAGTCTTAATAGCCTGGTCAAGCCTGATACTCCACATTAGCTCCCCCCCCAAACTTCTAAGTAACATCTCTAAAAAATCCCTCGCTAGTGGTAATTCTATTACTATGCCACTGGCTGACAAAGATAAAGTAAACGCTATATTCTCACTGTGGTAGATTACGCCACCCGTTACCCCGAAGCTGTGGCACTTTCTAATATCCAGGCTGAGATGGTGGCTGATGCCCTAGTCAAGATATTCTCCCGAGTGGGCTTTCCCAAGGAAGTCCTGTCCGACCAAGGTACGTAGTTCACGGCCGAGGTGACCCAGCAGATATGGAAAGTCTGCGG